GTTAATAGTAATTATTACTAAACTTAAATTTGTTTTCAAATTTTGACTAGAAAGAAATGAAGTGTGGTTGTTTTCATTATTGGATGATATTTTGGTGGCACATACTATTGACTCATCAAGGGTCCACAGCAGGAAAAGTCATTTATTGTACTTTCAGACTCCCAAGAGTTGTTTCCTTTTATTTTTAAAAAACGGAAAAAAAAAAAAAAAGTTACAAGTTGACGATAATATGTAGTGGTTGTACTGAATTTCTACGCAAATTATACAGAATGACTGAATGGCCCTGTTGCTTCTTGAACAATGGACCATTTGGTCATGCCTATTAGTTTACAAACTCAATTCAACTTAAAAATTAAGGGAATTAGAACAAATTTATGTAATTGAATCTTTCTTCTGATTAGCAGTTAAAGCATTGAGATGTTTTTGCACGACTGGAATAATAGTCATGTTTCTGTAGGAAAATCAACATTAGTCATTCACATGGCGGAAGCAAATAGAATTACGGATGCTTAATTGAAGTTTTGGATATTATTAAGAGGAGATCAGGAACTTTCGGTACAATTTCTGCAAAGTCTAGGGTGACTTATATGATCTTCACCTTGAATTGAAGTGATGACACCATAATTCACTTACATCACAATCTCTTAGAAGTGATCCACAGAATTTAAATTTCGTGTGTTTTAAAAGTTGAACGGAAAAAGTAACCGACTTTATCAAATTATGATCAACATTAGTTTCATTTCTTTCCCCAGTGAACAATGGCTTTGTATAAAGCCAAATAATCTGGATGGACAAAAGAAAGCCAGAAAGAATTGTGTGGGGACCAAATGAGATTAGAAAGAAACTAAAACACAGCCACCACTAGGGGCTGCTGCCACTGTTCCTATATAAGTCCAATCTAGCCCTTGTTCTTAGGCATAGCTAGAGTGTTCTTTTTTATATATAAATGAATTGATTGCCTTGTCAAATATATATACCTGAGAAACGGCTCCTTGAAACCACCCCGGCTAATGCTTATTTTTACACATACGATACTACCATTGACTTTGTTAGTCCTCACTACCCATTTTCCAACTCATATTTCTCGACTATTTGCCTTCTTCAATATATAATTTACTTCTTTCGTTTCACTTGTATTCAGTATCACATCTTACTTCGTTACCATTTCATTTCAACAACTCAAAGAGAGATATGGCTAGCGATACGCAGAGAACACTATGTTATGAACAACAACCCTGAAACTATCATCAGAACGGTGATATTCGCAAGAACTTTCTTGACGATGATGGTCGAGAAAAAAGAACTGTATATATATATATATATATTTCATTTTCTTATTTAAACGAGAACATATATGTTAATTGGTTTCAATAGTTTATAATCTTATGTTTTGAACATTGAAGGAACTTGGGTAACTGCTAGTGCCCATATCATAACGGCTGTGATTGGTTCTGGAGTTCTATCTTTGGCATGGGCCATAGCTCAGCTCGGTTGGGTAGCTGGACCAGCCATTCTGATGGCTTTCTCATTCATCACATATTTTACGTCCACTTTGCTCGCCGATTGCTACAGGTCTCCTGATCCTATTACAGGAAAGAGAAATTACACCTACATGGATGTCGTGAGAGCCAATTTAGGTCGGTTGCTTAGTCTTCTTCAAACTTTCAAACTTCTCTTTTTGACTAACCTGCTGTTTGATTAAGACTACTAGTTCCAACATCATTTTCATAATTACAACATGTAAGTGTTTCAATATATTACCTCAAATTCTCAACTTTATTTTTTTCTTTTTCTTTTCTAGGAGGTCGGAAAGTTCAGCTCTGTGGATTGGCTCAGTATGGAAATCTCATTGGAGTTACAGTTGGTTATACCATCACTGCGTCTATCAGTATGGTGTAAGTAGTCAACAAGAAACTTAGAAGTTTCAAGCCATTGAATGGCACAATAGTATATTGTTCTTGTTAATTAATTACGAAATTGTTTGTTTCCATGCCTCGTTATCAGGGCTGTCAAAAGGTCAAATTGTTTCCACAAACATGGACACGATGTGAAGTGCTCCACATCAAACAATCCCTTCATGATTATCTTTGCCTGCATTCAGATTGTTCTTAGCCAAATACCAAACTTCCACAAGCTATCATGGCTCTCAATTATGGCCGCCATTATGTCTTTTGCTTATTCCTCCATAGGTCTTGGCCTCTCCATAGCCAAAGCTGCAGGTAAAAATAAGAATTATTCATGAATAAACTATGTGAATTGTTTTTAATTTAATTAAATCTAATGAGAGGATTCATGCATGAATGTGAAGATGGGTCGCACGCAAGAACAACTCTAACGGGAACCACAGTTGGGGTAGACGTGACGGCATCGGAGAAGGTTTGGAGAGCATTCCAGGCAATGGGAGATATGGCCTTTGCTTACGCTTTCTCTACTGTGCTCGTTGAAATTCAGGTAAGTTCCTTTCAACATTTACATACTATTCATATTTAGTAGTACATGAGCACATGCATGCATCCATGAAGGGTTGGTTTTGTTTGAATAAAAGATCTTAAAACATTATCAACTTGAAATGCGTGCCTCAGTAAATGCCAACATGGCATGATCTTTAAAAATTTGATGTCTGACAGGTTCTACCTAACATCATGTTAGGCAAATCTTAATTGAAGAGGACAAAATGAAATCTTTCTTTGATGAAATGTCTAAAGCTTATTAGCGTAGAAAATATACTGCATTAAACTATTGAATAGATTATGATTAATTTACAAAAATGAGTGTCTGTCTTTTTGGTGGCGTTTCAAACTATACGGCCCCTAATAGTCGGGGGAAAGTTGCAAAATCAAAATTAAACTTTTTAATGAATCAGCGGAGAGATGTGTGAATGAAGCCCAAGTGTCGTGAAGAACAGTAACGAAGTTTAGATAAGGTTCAACTTGAAAAGTACGCGGACTTTGTGAAGAAGCAACGGTCACAAAAAGTTTATTTAGTCTTACTGTTGTGATGATGGAAGGGATAATTATAAACTACAAAGATTCCTATGGACCACGAAATCGGTGGACCAGCATCAATAGATTTTGGTCCACTGATTGTGGTAGCCTTTTCAGAAGCCTACTTTGGAGTCTTCCTTAATCCACCATGCTTTTATCTGTGTATCTGCAATCATACAACTGTTAGCAGAGGATTGTTTTGTCCCATCCTAATTCCTATCTAGTCATTCGCAAATCGTCTTGTCTCCAAGAATCACTTTATTGAACAGAACTGAATGGACTAGTTCCAACCTTACAGGGGCCTTCTCTCTTTATTTTTTATCTTTTTGAAGGTACACGGACCATAGCAGAACCGCGATTTGTAACCCAAAAGATTGGGTTCGCGGTGAAAAATATTTTCTCCTTTTCTTTGAGTAATTGGTTCTTTAAATTTGTAGAATATTTAATAAATTAGAGGAATTAATTAAGGTATATACAAATTAACACGGATACTACGGTTATAAAAAATAAAATAAAAAAATCATTATTTGTTTCTTTAATTGATATTAAATCTTTTTAATGTCAAAATACTTTAATCCTTTGTTTCTTGGCCCAAATATAAATTGATCGTTAAAACTCATATGATTTTACAGGACACATTGAAGTCGAGTCCACCAGAGAACAAATCCATGAAAAGGGCAAGTGCTGCTGGTGTCTTAACCACGACGGTGTTCTATGTAATGTGTGGTTGCATTGGTTATTTAGCATTTGGAAATAACGCACCTGGAAATTTCCTCACTGGTTTCGGATTCTATGAGCCTTTTTGGTTGATTGATTTGGCAAATGTGTGCATTGCTATACATCTAATTGGTGCTTACCAGGTAAATTCATGAAAAATTACATTAGAAATTAAAATGTATACAATTTGCAGTTGTGACATGATCTTAATATCCACAGGTCTTCTGCCAACCCCTATTCGGATTCGTGGAGAAATGGAGTCACAAACGCTGGCCAGAAAGCAACTTCATAAATACTGAGCATGGTGTTAACATTCCCTTTTTGGGTTTATATTATGTAAACATGTTCAGGTTGGTGTGGAGAACAATATATGTTATTGTGACATCGGTGCTAGCCATGATATTCCCATTCTTCAATGACTTCGTCGGTCTTATTGGAGCGGCTTCATTTTGGCCATTGACGGTTTATTTCCCCATAGAGATGTACATTGCCCGGACCAAAATGCAGAAATTTTCCTTCACCTGGGTATGGATGAAAATACTAATTTGGACCTGCTTAATAGTGTCACTTCTTGCTCTTGCTGGATCCGTTCAAGGTCTCATCCAAAGTCTCAAGACATACAAGCCCTTCCAAACTGAGCAATAATCCTCTAAAGTAACCTTCCTGTGATCCATATGTACTATTTATAGCATACAAATAATTTCACGGGTTTGCAAGTTGTAACTGATTTTCTTGAACTCCTAGAGGAAGTAAAAGGTTGCCATCCACAGCTCCATAATATATGAACAAATACTCGTTTGTCATATAATAAAGATTGACTCACAACTCAATCTTATAAATTTTCTCTTACAACTTCGATATGTCAACTCGTAATTTGATAAACAAGACCATTGCAAACTACAACATCAAGATTGTAAAAGAAAATTTGTAAGATTGAATAGTAAGTGTGTAATATTACCCTCTGCAATATCGTCAATTGTAGTAAATGGAAATACCTAGTACTGAAAATTATAAGAGAGTTTGTAAGATTGGATAATAAGTGTTGTATTACTTTTTGTCATATCGTCAACTGTAGTAAATGGAAAAGCCTAGTACTGAAAAAGTGAAAATTCTGTTTCTGACTCAGAACCTCTGTTCTCTAGAACACTCGTAGGGGAGTAAGCAAATTTAACATGCAACCATAAGTTTGCGAAAAGTTTCGGCTAACATTCAAGCAAAATATTTCAGTAGAAGAAAAAATAGCTGCGTAGCTGTGTCTCCCGATCATCTTTCAAATAACTTAACATAGTAATTCCAATGTACTAAAAGAAATAACAGGATCACAAATAAGTACACCAATGTGACAACTCAGCATGAGCTATAATATTTTCCTTGATGTTACTTAGAAGTTCAATCGATACAATGTTTATGTTAGTCCAAAGATTGTTTCTTTCCAGCGTGTCTAAGACCTGAGATACAATCTGATCGACATTCAAGTGAGATGGGAGAGGAATGCTTTCTATAATGGGACTAATAAGTTAATAAAGCAAAAATCTGTCCCTATCCATGTTAAGTAAATGTCCTCATACTAAGTGGACTTGCAAACACAAATTTCTGGCAATCTCCGTTCTTCAAGATCTTCAGTTGAGGTCTTAAGTTTCAGCAACACGTACTAAGCACCATATTAAATTAATTCCATCAAGCTATTATATGATAATAAAAAGAAATAATTAGTTAAAAAACCACTTTTTTAAGGGTCAAATTGAAATCTGACCTCTTTTTAATTGGCTTAGTAGATAAGACTCTTCATCCAATCTCTTTCCACTTTTTCTCTCTTCACTCCAGCAGTTAAGGAAAGCCACTCTAGTGCTGAAGTCGCTAGAGTACAGTTGGCTCTAGCGCTAGAGTAAAAATAAAAAAAATTTAATTTCTTTCTTTTAGAAAATTAAAATAACTCTTATATACATGTACTATTTCCTTTTGTTAATAAAATATAATTAATTAATTTAAAGGAACAAAAATAGATATAAGGTCTTATCTACTAAACCAATTACAAAAAAGTCCTATTGTAACTTGTCAAAAGCAGGAGGGGTGTCTTTTAACAATTTTCTCTAATAAAAATTACATAATAAACAGTTATGAAATGGACGAAAATTATTCTACCAATCAACTGTATAAATATGTTCAAGAATGATGGTTGAATAAAAGAATAATACCTGATAGCTCAAGTAGATTCTGTCTCACTCACCACAAATGCCTGAATAAGACTTTGTGCAGCATGAGTTTGTTCTGGTGTCCCAGATATAATGATCACAGTTTCAGTTGCTCCAGGCTTGGGCTCAGTAATTGTAATTTTTGCATCCGAGATCTGAAATAGCACCAGCCATTTGAATTTGCTAACAGGTATTGATCAAGGGTATTATTGTCTTACAAGGCAATGACTTCAATTAAAATTTGTGGATGGGAACTGTTCAGAATAATATCACGAGGAACTGAAAGTGAATAAGTTTTAAAGAGTAGGAACAAAAACATTTATCAGGGTGAAGATGGGCAAAGAGGCATACTCATACCAAAAAACCAGACTTAGTTAATAGCTTCGCAAAACTCCCTAAGGATGAAAAGAGAGAAAATAATGCCACTTAAGATCTCTGCTACTGACCAGTTGAGGATAGGATTCTAACCAGGGTTCTGCTCTATTCTATTTGCTATTTTTTTTTCTTTTTATTTATTTATTTATTTATTAATTATTTACTTGACCAAGAAAAAGCTAAAACGACTGAGTTTTCCCTGAAAAATTGTGCAGATGGCAAGGATCATACCTGACGAATTTGTTTCAAACATGCACCATCTTCTCCTTCAATTATAGGAACAAGAGAACGAGGAACAACAACTTCAACAGTAGTACTTGTTATAATAGCTGGCTGACTTCCTCTACATGTACAAAAAAGAAGAATAATGATAAAATATTCATGGTAGCGTCATGATTATTGAAAAATATGATAGAACTAAATACAAAAGCTTAAATTAAAATACCCTCCAAAACCCAAAATTCTTCTATGAGGAGGTCCAGCAAAATCTGGCAAACCAATTGAGCCACCACCTTCGATAAATCCCTGCAAACAAGTACAGGAAACACACAAATTTGCTTCTTTAGTATCTATACTAGTCTTACAAAACCGTATTTACTTCTATGTCAAAGATTAATGCACCTTAAAGTTTTAAGCAAAAACTAGAACAAGAAGTACCATAATAGTTCAGTACCTGAGCTCCCCATGGTTTCCTTTCAGGTACATGAGGGGCCATGCCTGGTCTACGAACATGATGCATAAAAAGAGAACGATCATCATGGGGATGAAAACCACCATGTGGAGGTGGGCCACCAACAACATCAAACTTGTGAAATGATGGACCAAAATTAGAATACATTCCTGGAGGTGAGTGTTCCCTCCTTCCCACATATGAAGGAAATGGAGGTACATGATCCAGAAAGGCAGGATTTAGAGGATGGTTCATTGAAGGAAATGCATCACGGAAAAAATGATTACGCAACCTAGTTGTTATCTGCAAAAGAGCCTCTTGAACTGCTTCAAATTCTCCATTAATCTATCAGCATAGAAACCACATAAGGAGCAAACAAAGTAAGCACGTCAAAGATCTAAAAAGTAAAAGTTTCATGTAAACTGACATGTCCACAATCAATAAGAAGGCAACATCTACTGATCTACATATATTTCAAGAAAATGATACTCCATATCGAGTAAACAAGGGATATTTCCAAACTTGACCATATCAAAGAGAAAACACACCTGAACAACTTCTTCGCTTTCAGAAGCACACTTAGGAATCTGATCCTTCCCCAATATGCGAATATAAGCCCCAGTTAACTTTCTCATCTCAGCTATGATAGCACCACCCTTACCGAGAAGACAGCCAATTTGATTAGACGATACAAGAAGCCTTGCCATGACCTGCTCCCTGCTATCAGGAATAGCCCTAGTTATCCTAGTCTGCACACGAAGAACTGCATCTTGTGGAGGTGAAATCCGATCATCTGGGTGCTGCAATTATTTATATGTTGTCAGAATGGTGAAAAATTGCCTCAAGTAATAACATTAAGGAAAGTGCAAAGAGTCAAAACTTACTGCTGGACCAGATACAACAATGATGCGGTCATCTGTATCAGAAACAGCTTCTAGAACTTTAATCTCACATCCAGTCTCTTGCTGAAGTGTCTTTATTATTGCTCCTCCCTTTCCAATGACACCTCCTACTCTCTCATCATGGCACAATATGCGGAATGTTAGAAGTTCCTGTAAAGGCTTCAGTCGGCCTGGGACACCACTCTCATGAAACTTAGGGATCAACGGGGGGATAGATGAATGAGCAGCAACATCCCGACGCCCAGAAGAATAAGGTGCTCCTTGAGAACCAAAAGAATGGTTAGGGGGATGTGGTGGCTCAGTTGGATTGGCCGGGAAAGAATCATGATCCCGAGGTTTCTCCAAAAGTTGTTGAGAAACAGAATGAAGAGCTTTCCTAACTGCATCAATCTCTCCTGAGATCTGCAACATAATTATAGAACAAAATGGTCAAATATACATTTATTAATGATATGAACTTACTAGTTCTACAAAAAAGATTCTGGACTGTTAATACAGTAGCAAACTAGGGTTCACAAGAACATTATGATTATTCAAGAATTAGGCAATGAAGCATTGGTGAGACAAGGCGCTATATTACAGAACACTGTGGTTAACCATGCATTAAATATTAAGCTAAGCAAAAATTCAACCAATTAATGATGATACAGCAAACAGAATATTATGAGTCACCTGAACTACTTCATCAGAAGCTGATGCACAAGTAGGAAGTTTGTCTCTCGGAAGAACCCGAATCTGTGCCCCACTATCAGCAGACATTAGCTTGATTACACTGCCTCCTTTCCCCAAAAGGCAGCCAACTTGATTAGAAAGCACAAGTAATCTCAAAATAAATGTTGAAGAATTATTATTTTCCTCATCACCTCCATCTGTATCAGGTTCTGCTGCAAGTTTTTCAAAAACAAGTAACAAAGCCTTCTGCAAATGTGAAGTTTCGTTTTCAGATTTAGAATCAGCCAAAGGATCTGATTCCTTGTCTCCATCATTCTCACTATCTTTAATTTTACTGTCATCCTCTTCTGTCGCATTGGTCTCCTCAACACCACCCTCCTTGCTCTGCTCAATACTGGCTTCTGACTCTTTATCAGAGCGAGCAATGACAACTACTCTCTCGTCACAACCAGGAACAATCTCCTTAACTGTGATCATCGCACCAGTTTCTTGACTAATTTGTGATATGATTGCATCTTTTCCAACAATACCATCAATTTTGGAAACTGGACAAAGAACGCGGAATGTAACATCGCTATCGAAGGATTTTGAAGACTTATCCTGTGAATAATTGCCGGCAAACTTTTGCCATTTCCCTTTCCCATTTGACTCTGTATGGTTGTGATCAGATGACCTTTTAGCAGGAGTCAAGGGAACAGACATATTTACAAAATTATGCAGCCCTGTTTCACTCTAATATGCACACTCCTGGAAAAAATGAACCAAAAAAGAATTCAGAATAAAGAGGTCATTAGCAATAATCTGAAGTAGACAAAATTTAAAGGGTCAGAATCTACCAGAAACCAGAAGTAAATCAGCCATTCAATAAATAAACAATGTTAATTTTTTCTCTCAATGAGCCATTAGTTTTTCTCACTGACGACATTTTGATATCATACAGATCTTCTCTCTTCTCTCTCTTTCTCTTTTCTCTTCTTTCTTTAAAAGTAACCTAACTCCTTCGCAACAACATAATTGCAACCGCCTTTAGAGGTATGTTAAGTCAAAATAAGAATTAAAATATCAAAATCAATGAAATAAACTAAAATTAAGAGGAAAAAAAGAATAACACCCTGTCAAAACAACCTATAAACAACTTCCCAAATGAACACTAGAGTTCAAAATTTCAGATCAAAGAAATCAAAATTGGACACATAGGAAAAATTCCATTTTCCATGAGTACATTGTACTTTTTAGTCTCATTGTTAGAAAACACACCCACAAAAAAAAAAAAAAAAAAAAAAAGCAAAAATCATCGTTCATTCGAAAAAATAAAAACCCCATAACTTGATAAATTGCTACAAAATTTCCGGAATTGCAATTACTTGACTTCAGGTCAGCTTCTCGTACATTTAATCTGAATCAACAGAATATAAAAAGAAAAGTCGACATTTAAGTAGCGTGACTAAAGGGTTGTCCTCGGTGAAATAACCTTCCAATGGAACGAAATATGAAGTTGAATAAGAATGAGAATATGCGTATACAGATACTCACAGACTCTTCGGATATTGAAGAAGCAAGTCAATCTGATTCCTCGTACTTTTCAGTGGAATTTCTGGTCGTCTTCAGTGATTGTCAACTAAAAATATCGTGATGGTTTCCTGCGAAATGAGGAAGAAATAGCTCCACCCAAATCTATTTTTGGTTCCTAAACTAGGTTTTTATAGACCGATTCGGGTGGTCTGGAAAGTGGGGACTTTACACTTATTTGAGTCGGGTTCCGGTCCGGATCGTACGGCTCTTTGTTTATGCCTTTTGCTTTGAACAATGATGAATTATGTCAAATATTTGTTGAAAATGCTTTTATTATAATTATTTAATAGAAACAAAAATATGCCTACATACTAACTTAGCATACCAATAATAGATATATGAAATACAAGTTATAAAAATAAATAATTAATTTAAACTACAAAATAATAAATTAAATAGATGTTAGAAGTTTAAGTTAATATGTAGGAATTCAATATCAATATTTATTTTAATAAGTCTACTCACATAAAACTTAGATTTTATTTTTTTATCCACTTGAAATTTTTTATTATAATGATATATTAAGCTGTCAATAACACTAAAAGCTTAAGTTGTTAAGTCATGCATATTAATGGGCTTCTTTGGTAGATTATTTAAAAAATATTATTCTAAAAAAATGTATTAAATCATAGGATCAAATTTTAAAAATGTGTTTGATAAAATATCTGAAAATTATATCAAATGTTAGATAAAATGTCGAAATAGTTGTTTCGTACATTTTTTGGGAAAAGTTTTTAAGACATAATAGTTGGCACATTTTTTGAAAATATTTATTATTATTTTTTAACCTCATACATTTGTTAATTTAGTTAAATATTCTCACAATAAAAATTTTAAAATTAATTAAAGCACCCTAGCCATCCAAGAGGACAGTTGACCGCCGGCCACCACCGCCAGACAGTAGCCAACCAACAGTCGCACGGAACGATGCACAACCGATGGATTTGGCTAGTCATGTGTTGATGTGGTTATTTTTTGCCAGATCCACCATGGATCTGGCCGAAGCTAGATAGATCTAGCCATTAACAGCTATATCTCGGTCCGAATCTGATTGTCAACGACCAGATCGGCACATGACAAGTCAGATCTAGCTGGTTGCGCATCGTTCTGACCAAGTCGGCCGATGGTGGTGGTGTTGGTTGGATTAATTTTCAGATTGGAAGGAGAGAAAATTGAGAAGGAAATAAAGAAAAATGTTTTGAGTTGAATAGAGTTGGATAGAAAAATATTTTGAGTTGAATAGAGTTGACTAATCGGAAAACAAGTCTGCCCTCTTTTTATTTTTAGACAAAAAAATCTTATTTGATTTATATTAATTTTCAGAATAATAATCCTAAGAAATAAACAAACACATATCATATTTTTTTAATTTAAATAGGATAACAAAATATTAATCCAGTATAGTGTGGGCAATATTTCTTCAAATCATAATGAATACATACACCTAAAAAAACCTACTAGTTTGGAAAACTTTTTAAGTTACCATGGAAAAACTTTTTATGACAAAATTCAGTTTTAAAAGTCGCAAATTAAAAAAATTGACGTCTACCTAAAAGATTCAAATCGTGTATTTATAATAGCATAAGTCTAAGGTGGGCACAACTTGTTATCCAAGCAATCTACCTAAACTATTATCTTAACGTCAGTTGTTTATTGACGAGAAAGAACTACATGAATTGTCAAAAAAAAAATGATAAATTATTATATATTTTCTTTGCCTGCAGAGGTTATGAATAAATTTAAACGAGATAATCTTTGTTTTTATTAAATGGTCATCTAATACACAACATAAATACGTAACGCATGTGTCATGTTGATTTTAGAGTTGTTTATATCGAAACCTAGTAACACAATTTTCCAAATGTCAATCTTTCTAAGTCTTGTTTAGCAATAAGTTTTCTGCTGACTTTTAAAAATAAAAAGACCGATACGTTAACTGACAACAATAAATTTCATTAACATCAAAATTGACAATTAAAGGAAAACAAACGAACGGTCATCTTTTATTTTTCTTAATATATAAGTTCGTATCAGTATCAAAGAATAAATTTTAAATCACTTTAGCTTTTGAGATAGGAAGTGAAGAATCAAGCAACTGGTTCGTGTTTGTGTCAACTACTCAACTTAATAGAGAAGAAAATCATAACCCAATAATGGTCCACGCCCATACCTTTTTTTTAACTCTTTATTCCCCAATACCAAATTAAATAATTAATTTATTGTGGAGAAATATATTTTAAAAAAAAAAATCAAAGAAGAAAGTTCAAAAGAATAAGGTTCAAAGCATATATTCAAATTCATCTTTTTTTCTCTATTTCTTTGGGCCGAAGAAAGACAAAGCTGTAACAAGAAACCCAATTTGACGTTCCTGGCATCGCTAACTTCACCCGCAAGTCGTTGTAGCCTTTCCCATAAGCGGCAAGAACTCCGCTGACTTCAGAAATCTTTGTACCCTCCCTTAGCCCACAGCCAATTACGAAAGAACCCTTAAATATCTCTCATGACTGTCTTAACTGCACCGAGCAAAAGGGTCATTCTAGTAACCGCAAAGTTTTCCCCAAAATGCGTTTAAATACAAACACACACGCTTAATTGTCTCCGGTTCTACCAGTTCTTGTCAATTGCACAATCGTCGCAGAGACTAGAGCCGTCAATCAAGTGTAGAAAAGCCATGGCTCTTCCAACTAAGAACTTGGTGGAATCCACCAGAGTCAGGGCTCCACCACCGAAGCCCTCACCGTCACCATCACAGTCGCAGTCGTCGTCGTCATCTTCACCACCCATTCCCGCAACAAAATGCTGCGTCCGGACGTCAGATTCATGTTCTGCGCATTTTATAAACCAAAACGAGAGCAACTTCAAGCGCAGCGCTTCGCCACTTCGGCTCATGAATTATCAAAATGGCTCGTGGATTGATCTCTCAAACGAGGTGATTGATTCTGTCAAATCCAGTTTCTTAGAGCGCAAGCCAATGGTTATTGTTACAATTGAAGGGTCAAAATACGTGTTTGACTTTCTGAGAATGGTACGGATTGATTTTGAGACTGGGAAACAACGTTCGATTGCGTGGATCGATGTGAACGGCAAATGTTTTTTCCCTACAGTTTTTCTCAGTGAACAAGATGAAGATTGTGTAGAGAGATCAGAAAGTAATACAAGTAAAATCGAGATCGAGATCAATATTAAAGATGGCTTGGGGAAGAGACAACGAGAGGCCGTTGATAAAGACGATGAAGTCAGTTCAGAAGACGTGTCAAAACGACCGCGTTTAATCACACAACGTGCAGATTCTTCTGGATGGCTAAATACAAAGTTCTTGAAAGAAACAGACAGAGCGTATACACTCGTAAGAAACTATTTTCTTGCCGGAATGAAAAAAACCGATGCCGCCGTGACTGTCACTGCCATTCACCAGTGTACACGTATAGGTCATTTGGAGAGAGCGCGTTTGGATGTTTTTCAAAAACAGATTGAGATGACAAAAGCAGCTCGTGGTGCGTCGAATACTGTGTACTCATGGCACGGCACGTCAGCAAGAGGCGTTGAGAGCATTCTAGCCCATGGTTTCGGTGTGCCTAGCAAGATTTCGACTTATGGGATCGGCGTTTATCTGTCACCCGTCGGATTGCCTGGTTTAAGGTATTTTATATTTTATATTTTATATTCTCTTATTTGCTGATTGTTATTAGTTTTTAGTATTTAGTGTCTTATTCTTGAATTTTGTTTATGTTAGTGCCCAACTAGCCGAGGCGGACCAGAATGGTGAGAAGCACGTGATACTGTGTCGTGTTATATTGGGTAATGTGGAGAAAGTTGAGGCGGGGGCTCAACAATGTTATCCATCTAGGGTAGATCTCGATTCTGGTTCAGATGATCCGAAAAATCCAAAGTGGTATGTAGTCTGGCCGAGTAACATGAACAGACACGTTATTCCCGAGTGTGTTGTGAGCTATAGGTCGACTGGCCACTTGCAAGGTAAATTTAATTCTGTTTTACATGACTTTATTTGACATTATGCGTGATTTGTTTTTGGGAATTAAAATAAGCTGTTTGTTTTTTTGATATTAGGCCAATTAAAAGGACCTAGTTGTACAAAGTATCCTTTGGAGAAGTTATTCTCAAAGATGAAGAGTTCACTTTCTCCCACCAAACTGCAGGAAGTGATGAATTTGTACCATACTTACAAGGTAAGTGATCGAGTGGCATGTTCTGTTATATTCTTTGAAGACCATTTTTACTGTTTCTGTTAAATTGTTTGGAAGGTTTAGAATTGCAAAAGAGAAGCTGACATTGAGAAGTTTCCTTTGTTGTCTTTATGCCTAATTACAGGCAGGGAAGCTGGCAAAAGATAGCTTCTTTAAACAGTTGCGATTGGTTGCTGGGGATCAGATGTTGCTATCCACCATTCGAGAGATTCATGCGTCAGAATGAGGTTTCTCAGCATCCTGTTTCATTTGGAAGCATTTGGTTTTGAAGTTTTAGTCACAGTCTATCCAATTGATAGAATCACATGTAATGATAGTTACAGTTAGGAATAGAAGGATTAAAAAAAAAAAGAAGTCAGATATTGAAGAAATACAAATTATCTTGTAGTTTTTTTTTTCCCTACCCTCACAATATATGTAATGTAACAGCTATGCATGCACGTTTATTGGGAAATTTCCATTCTTTTATAGTAATTGTGGTTATAGTTTTGGATATTCTTATGCTGTAATATATTGATTAATGTTAGTTGACTAGTCAACATCAACTTTCTTGATCTTCTGCATGTGAGCTATGGTTATTTGATGACGTCCAACGATGCTGGTGATGCCTAGCACAACTGTGCTTTGAATATATTTTTGGCCTTTTCTTTTGAGTTACTTTGCTTAAGAAGTTTCGTTGTTGTGACATACAAGCAAGTGGACAGGATTGATATTTTAACTTAGTGAATTTGTTCCTTGTTAATCATATTTTAAAGTTGCCTTTTAAGCATAGAATTTCCTTTCTAGATATGGGAATTGAGAAGTTTCATTTTACACAATGGAAGACTAAAAATTTTGAAGTCGAGAAGCACTAACATGGTTGATGCCTTTTATTATGGTTCAGTTAGTTATTGCCAAAATTGACAGCTGGCTGAAGATACTCGAGATTCAAGATGTTAGATAATACTGGTTTGGGATATCTAGCCAATGTTTGGATGTTTATGCAGGTATTTAATACTGGTTTAAAACATACTTACTTCTAAAGAACTTATTTCATTTGGATTTGGTTGATTGTTAGTTAAATGTTTGGTTGATACTATTGATTCTGTGATTATTGAGCCCTAGCCTGTTGGAGGGAGGTAATAATATAATGGTGATATACTGTTGCTAAGCTGCTTTGTGTAATGTTGCATTTGCTAAAGCAAGGTACTAATAAGTACCTTTTTTAAAGTTTGCATATTGGCGTAGCATTGATGTTGTTGAGAATTTGTTAGACATTGTACAGCACATCTATATAATGTGTTGGATCTGCTAAACTACTGATGGATTCTATTTGACTCAGAAAAATGTCTGCTTTCTTTAATATATTATTTTTTTCTTTACTTTCTCTTGATTTGTTAGGCTAACAGCTTTTGATTTGGGCCAGTATTATTGTCCAAAAATTTTACTTCTACTACAACCTTGAGATGGTCATATCTACTAATTTTTGTGGTGAAGTTACTTTTCTACTTGATATTTTCTGTCCCCTGCCTGATGATTCAATTAAAGAGACTTATTTAATTATTCCTTAATTTAAGTATTAAAACCTCTCCTTTACATTCTTCCTACTATCACAGGAGAGGGGTGGGGGAGAGAACTAGGAAAGAATTAGATGGATATAGGTGTCATTTTGGGACTGTACATTAGACTAGAGGCAGGACTAGACAAAAAGAAGCCATCTTTATTTGAACTGGAGAAGGAAGGAACCTGTATAGGAATCGACTCTGTCTCATCATCGGTTATTTTATGGATGTTTTAAAATTTTATTTCTTTGAAAAAAAAATTTGTCTAATTTTTTTCCCCTATGGCAGAAGAGGAAACTGAACAGATAGTTGGTGCTGACTATGAAGTGGGAAGAGATGCCTTCTTTCTTGCTTGGTATAGGGCTTTCCAACGTGCTAGATGGGTGCCTGGGTTAGCCCTCTCATCGCCTCAACTGATGTGCATTACTCCACAGTAACATTACTTTGCATCCCTCCCTTTCTTCTGGTTATGGCACTAACATTTCAGGTAGCCTTCATTCAGTGTCCACGAGCATTATGGCATGCACGGGGTAAAGTTGGTCAACTTAATCTTTTTCAAAGATCTACATCTTCTTTGTTTAGTTTATAATATATGACCCACGAATTAAAGAAATCTTATCTGAATTTATGTTTTCATATGATCTGTGAGTACTTTTACAACTACGAAATTAGTTGAAGAATCTAGAACTTCGGGGATGATGTAAAGATTGAGCTGAGGAGAAATGTTACTGCAGATCACTAAAACATTACCTCCTAGCATATGCACGTGCACACTGCAAAGGACAAAAAGAAAAAAAAAAAAAAAGCAAAGAAAAGACCTTTTTTCTCTTGGGTTTGGTGAAAGAAAAAAGTGGTGGTCTGGTACCCATTATGAATTCAAGTGCTGATTTGTAGCTAGCCAATCAGCCAGCATCTGAACTCATGTGTGCTGCACCCTGCACTAGGATTTTGTTTTACCTGATACCTGTATGCCTAATTACTAATGATAAGCATTGTCGCTGATTAAACACACCTTCTGCCTCCAATGAGCTATTTGAATGTCTCCTCTGTTGCTGCACAATATTTACCACTGGGTTGATTTTGGTTGTAAATTTACAGGTTAAGATGGGTCTAAGAATCTTATTTAAAAGGTCTAAGAAATGAGTTCTCTGTATATGAATGGGATTACAGGAGCTACTGATGATACATCTTATACTAGTTTGGCATTGCTTACTAGAATGTTTATCTGCAAGTATGGGTTCTCTTGTGTATGAGTAACAGGCAGTTGGAGGCAAATACTAAACCTGTGGCAAGTGTTGTCAGGTAATGCTATTTATGTTGAAGCAGGTCTGGATAAGTTTGAGAAGTGGTGCATCAATATAATATATTCCTAGCTACTAATTTCCCTCTGCTATTTTCATGCAGGAAAAATCTGCATATACTAAATGGTGCATCAATATAACTTGTTCACAGCTACTAATTTCCTGATGTTATTTTCAGGTGGAAAAAATATGCATTGTATTGTATTTTTTGTCTTGACTGTTACCAAGTCCAAACAGTGGTTGTTAATTGTACCGATTCAATGTAATAATTTTTGCATTTACTGTCCGCAGAGCTCTCAGTAATAGAAATTGGGATTCAGCCTAGATGTATTACATTGGCCGCTGATAACCTTTGATGGATGGCTTGTCCTTCCTTTGGCTAAGGAGTATTTTATGATCGGTCTCGTTCAAATTGAGCGAGACTAGTTGATAACCATCAATCCTTCATCATTTGTTTTTAGTTAATTTGTGTAAGAGGAAGATCCTCTTTTTTTAAGTGGAGTGTCCGGAAGCAGTTGTGATACTATCATTTAGTTGTGGAGATTTTTCTGACTTGTGTAACTTCGTTTTGCTTGATATACACGTTCATTAATTCTTGTGATATGGCTAAAAGAAGTTCCACCAGTGTTGGCTACATTAGAATGTGGTCGTATCATCGCAGAACCCCAACCTCATTTAAATGGAAGACACTGCAGGATGGGTTAGCATATACCATGGATTTAGAGATACACAGCACCGAAAGACGTGTGTACTTATTTTAAATTGTTGTATTGGTTGGAAGAACTGATTAACATGGAAGCAGTCGATTTCTATCATTCATTTCCATGTACGTGTAAAATCTTTGCTTGGGTCAATTCAATCCATAAAGAAAAGGGAACTGTAAATTTACAGGTTCAATTTCAATATCTTCCGGCGGTACCAGATATTCATAAAGGAATGTAGAATGGCGCACATGCAACACATTTATGAACGAATTCATGTCATCAAGTAGATAATGGGTGAGGTTTTAGTCAATTGTGTCTTTTGAGTATTGTTTGTGCTAAAGTGACAAAGTTGAGAAGAATATGGTGTGATGAAAATATGTTGTAAGACCATTGCGTGGATGGTCCAAATTGAAAGAGGTGAGTTTGTAGGACCACGATTAGAGGACGCAATAAGTGTTTTCCCCTCAAGCAATATCAACTCCGATCCGAGCTACCAATAAAGAAGAAGAAAGGCAGAATAAATTTATGTTGCTTCTGACAAAAGTGCCGAACTATTCGCACTTTTCAGGCTAATCCGTTCTACTTGAAAAGCGAATGGCGTGCTACTGTATATGTTGTTGAAATAACATTGATCCCATTTTAATGGAAATCTAGCATTGCCGTCCACTTATTTGGATGGACAAGAAATTGGAACTGAAAAAATTGGTGATCAATAGCGGAAACAACCAGCAAACATTCGATCGTCCACCGAATTGACTTTTTGACTATGAGTGCCTTCTCAAAATCTTTTCAATTTGTCTGTTTCTATTAGTGAAATGTTGGTATGATATTTGTTACTATTAATTAACTCGTAAGTATCATTAACTTGTGTTTTAGTGAAGTTTAAGCATAGAACAATAATCACGTGAGTGCTGGACAGATAAAAGCTTATGACCTGACCAGAGAGCAGTGATGTGCACTAAAGATCAAATCAATTACAATTGCCCCCAGAAGTTGGAATTTTGTCTTAAACCTTTCCTCGCATGTCCCAGTCCCAGCTCATTATTGCTTCAAGCTGTATGCCAAAAACCTAAATCCTGTATTTGCATCATGCAGTTAATTTAAAAAAAGAGACAATCGGCTGTTTCTTATGACCCGAACTTATACCTAACAATCGCTTAAGAAAATGGATGTTTATAGCATCATTTAGAAAAACAAGGATGACGTGGGAAGATTTGTTCATCCATTCATATCATTTTCCAACCTAATCCACTCCTACATATGTTATACTTACACCTAACAATTTTCTCTTATGTTAATTTAGATAAGTTTAATAATATATATCTACATCATTAAAGTGTGAATTAGATATGCACTAAAGGAACAAAACAACAATTACATAATAATATTTATTAATAGGTTTTCAGATTGATTTCCAGAGACGTCCTGTTGCTAATAATTAAGCGCAAGGCATAGATAAGCCAAAGCGTGACAGTGTTTTCTTTTCATAAGTCCTCTTTATGTGATTTGGAACTTGATTTACCTAATTAAAAAGAGTAAACGACTTTCTCCCCGCCCCCAACGACAATTTTCCACCTAACAAGTTTCAAAATACAATTTTTTTTTACGCAAAGCTAATATTTTGTTATTATCTAAAGCTGATTCCAACTAATTTCAGTGAAAAAAATTATCTCTGTCATCATCATTTGAACCTCCAGTCTTCTTTTTACAAAACTCCTCTCATTCCGACACCTGATTTCTCATTAATTGTCGACCATCGAAAAGCTAAAGTTGCATGTTCTTAGTTGATTTTCATATGATTTCAGTAGCGAATATTCAATCAGTCACCACTATTTGATCCACCGGCCTCCACTTTACAAAAACTCCCTTACCTTGACTCCTGGTAACTTGCTGAACGCCGGCTGAAAAAGTGAAGTATATTATAGATATTAATAGAATATAATCGTTGAGTGGAAAAGTGGTATTCTGAAACTTTTTGGGTGGGAAAGTGTTGTTAAGGCAAACCTTGAGTGGGAAAAAGTCATTTACTTAATTAAAAAAACACTTAAAATATGGACATGTATTTATCAACTCATATCCGTTCTATATGATTGTGGAAATGTTTAATATATATAAATTTACATAACACCTTTTGCCCAACAAACCTTCCGATCACACATACAAGCAAAATAGCCACAAATCTTGATTATCAAATTAAGCACAACATGCCATTTATCTATTCAATCCCATAAAATTTTAACCTATATTCGAACATACAAAACATGTCACATGAATTAATGATGTTGATGAGTTGGGTTGGGTAATTTAATTAGTGACACAAATATAAGGATAAATGTTTAATTTATTAAGAGGTAACGACTTTTTCCATCCAAATAATGGCTTAATGACACTTTCTCACTCACAGATTTTTAAAATACTATTTTACTACCAAAATTTATATTCTAGCGGCAAATAGAAAGTAAAATCAGTCCAAGCTGTTGGAGCTTTTAAAGAAGGGAGACCGATGAGTCTTTTGGTAGTGGAAGTTGGATTTTGGTGATTGAGATTATAATTGATCGAAATTTGACTTGAGAGGGGTGGTTGTGTAAACCCAAATTGCTCTATTTTCAATGATTGGTAGATTCGGCAAGAGTAGAGTTTGAAGGGTTTTGGTAAGTGATGATCAAGGAAGAGAATAGTGGTAATGTAGGGTCACAATGATGTCGGAATCGAAAATAAAATATAAATTTGAATAGTAAAATGATATTTTAAAAGTTTGTGGATGGAAAAAAGTTGCTTACTCATTTATTAAACTACCAACTGTTGGACACATGGCCTGGGAATGGGATGTGGACCTGACAAAAATGATCACGAAATTTAATTGTTACACATCATGATATATGATAATCACATACACCATGACTAATTCCATGTTCAATCACAAGTATAATAACCAAATTTCGACATGAATGCTTATGATTATCCAATTCTTATATACTTGGATACACTCCTTAGTCCTTACCTCTTATTTTATCATTTCATCTACTACACTTCTTCAGAAATCGACATCTGGCAGCGTCAAAATGTTAAAATCCTCCAGTAATTCGCCATCCAATGACCTCGTCGCTTGTCATGTTGCCACTTGGCTACACCATGTGCTTTCCTCATCTACCTAATCCTTATTTTATTTTTCCTAAAAAAATTATAATGTATTGAATTTGAAGTGAAGGCAGATTTGTATTTTTAAAATCTGATTCTGCCTATTTTGCAGAAAATTTAATATTATTTTATTCTTTTAGTAAAATTATGATAAGTAATGATAAAGTTATCGGGATGTATACCAAATTTGTGTATGGAACGATGTGATTAAATCCTGATCGTTTATTTATTATCAGTTAATATTAATCAACGGTCAAGATTTTGCTACGTCATTCGATACACAAATTCGGTGTAAACTTTTCAATAATTCTATCATTTTCCAATTATGATACCTTCCCAGGGAATGGCCACGTCGTAAGCTCATGTACCTCAAACGAAAGCAAATACATTCTATTGATAATTTTTCCCATATTCTATTGATCCATTCACCATCTTATCCAGAATAAATATTTATTTTCTTATTCTAAAAATATTATTCTATTTTATTTAATCATTTTTAAACCCTTTAAATTTGTTAATTTAACTAAACACCCATTAATTTTTTTTTTTTGAAATTAACAAAAATATCCCACCAACCCATATTTGCTAGATTCTAGCCACTACCACAAGAAGGTAGCCAAAACCTGATATAATAGAGCACTATTAACTGGATCTGACCGATAGTGCGCCGATATAACATTTTTTGGCCATATCCCTTTAATTTTTTTTTTTAGAAATTAACAAAAACATCCTACCAACCCATATTTGCCAGATTCTAGCCACTACCACAAGAAGGTAGCCAAAATCTGGTATAATAGAGCACTATTAACTGGATTTGACCAATAGTGCGCTGATATAACATTTTTCGACCAGATCTATTGTGGATCTGGCAAAAAAATGCCAAAGCTACGACTAAATCTTTGGCCATAGCCAATTGTCAACGACGGCCAAGATATGGCCGTCGTTAACGACCAAACGCGACCAGATCTGGATAGGGTATTTTTATTAATTTTTAATGTTTTATTATAGAGTAATATTAGCCTTACAAAGAGGCATACAAATAGTCAAATCCAACCCTTGAAATTCATGATTATCTATTTCTCTCTCTCTTTTTCCCTTATTTCAAAGGTTGGATTTAACTTTGTATGGGTCTTTGTATGCCTCTTTGTAAGACTATTATTACTCTTTATTATATGGGTGTTTAGTAAATCAACTAACTTAAAAGGGTATTTTTGGTAATTTTTAAATTCTACCCGTAATAACTACCAAATTTTTCCCTTTTAAAAATGTACCATAATAATAACCAAACGCACATAAAAATATCAGCTAATCTGAGTAATCTCCCACTCCTTCTCCACCTCTATATATATATTCATAACAGCTCCTCAGCCTCCCTCTATCTCACACACACATTTCGTGATCTCATATTTTAGCTGTCATCTTATTCTTCATCATCTTCAGTTTTTCTCTCAGCCTCACTCGACTCTTCTTTCTCGTCTTTCTTATCGGATCTTCTAAACCTAACGAAGACTGTTTCCACGGCACCTACACCGAAATCTTCGCATTCTATCTCGTTTCTGTATTTTTGTTTTTTTTTTTTTTGTTTTATAAAAACGATTTTTAAGTGAAAAGAAAAACAGAAAATGAGGATGAAGGAGGAATTAGCGTGTATGAGTGACGAGGAGAGGAGAGAAGAGGAAATAATAGCTTTTCCTCAACCGCAAAAGAAATTAGTTGTGGTTGGTTACGCTCTTACCTCTAAGAAGACTAAGAGCTTCTTGAAGCCTAAGCTTGAACGTCTAGCTAGGTATTATTAAATTTTATTAAACTTATTAAACACTATTATTTCTTTAAATTTAGCAGATTAATCTATTTTTGATTTAATTAATTTTACTTTATAACTCATAATGTTGCAAAAAATCATTATTATTAATCAAGAAATTTTTTGGTGGTTTTTAAATTGTTTAGAGTGTGTCGTTTTGGAATCATGGCCACATATTTGTCGGAAATGTTTTACTCGTTTTTACTTTTGATATTTTCTTTTTGGTAAAATGTCGTTGTCTGTTTGGTTGTCAAGAAAGTGAAGTGGATTTTAAAGGAGTTTCTGGAGGAATCTCACAACAAACATTCCAACTCTAATAGGGTTCAAGATATTTAGTTCTCTGTCCATCGTGTAACACCTATTATTTGTGTGTTCCGTATTTGTTTGGAATATAGTCTTGACATTTCCATTTAGAATTTGACTATCTGTTGTTTTCTGGATTAAGTTTGTTTATTTATAATAACACTTGGTAATGACCGCTTTGAACTCTTTCTACAATTTGCGTGAGCTAAATGTCATGTATACCCTGGTATGAGGTGGTTAATTAATGTAGTATTTTTTTGGTTGAAATGATGGAGTGGTGCAGGAACAAGGGGATATTGTTTGTTGCTATTGATCAAAACAGGCCCCTTTCGGATCAAGGCCCTTTTGATATTGTGTTGCATAAGGTTAGCCAAAATATTTTTTAAATTTTCCTTCTACGTTCATATTCTATGGTTATATCTTCAAAATTGACATATACCTTTTTTCTTATATATATTTTTCCCTTTTAATACAGTTAACGGGAAAGGAATGGCGCCAGATTCTCGAGGTTGGTTCACTTAAAATGCTCATTTCTACTTTACCTCAAGTAATTGTTAACGTTTGAGAGCTGGACTATTATCATGCCTTGTTCCCGCTTGAGATATTGCATGGTTGTGTCACTTATGATGTTTACAAAATGGGATCAAATAATCACTTACTGGTGATAAATAGAATTTTTCAGTTTCTAAACTTAATTGTGTGAACGTAATTTGCAAAGTGCTTGCTCTTGCCTTGGTCATGAGTCTTGACTTGATAGTTGAGTTCAAGGTCTTAAGCTTCAAGCAAGAGAGGATGTAGATGTTTCCACTTCCTGCCCATCTAGCTGATTGTTTCAGGTTTCCATGAGCAATTTGATTCTTTTGGAAAAGTTCACTTTTCCTCGTATACTGTTACCCTCTTTTATCAGCAGACTGAATGTGAGATGGCTCTCCTAAACCTTCGTAGTTTAAGATATTATATACCTCTTTTCCAGTGTTTGTTAGTTGGAACCCTATCATGTTCTGGGATTACATTTATGAAAACCACTCTCCTCAATCTAAATATTCAATTTTAGGCTGGAGACAATTACTAGTCAGAGGTTCTCTGTTCTAGGTTGCAGACCCTCCATTTTGTTTGTTCTAGGATCACAGCATTGAACTTTCTAATCTTGCCTAGGGTGATGATTTTATGTTCGCACATATTACTAATTCCTACAAACACTTCTACAATTTTTTGCGTAATTTAGATTTTGGAGTTACTATCTATTTAAAATATCTTCTGCAATTACTATGACAGTAATAAAATCCATTAACTAGTGTGAAGCATAAAAATTTCTCGACATTGTTGACTTATACATTTTTATCTTACCGTTAGTGATAAGTCCACTATGGAATGGCTCTTTAAAAAATGACTAATATCTTGAAACCATACCAAGCATTCTTTTCTATTGATAAAATAATTAATGCGGTTTTTTGTTATAACTTTTGTTTCTGTATTGGAATGAAGATTTTCCTAAGTGGGTTATGTAATGTGGTAGGAAAGGTTTATGGAACCCCTATTTATTCAAAGCTTTTGGTTCTGGACAAGAACAGTCACTTGTAGGTAACAAGATACTCAAAAAATTTCGGGTTTGCATCATTTATTTGTGAGAATTATGGTTTCAATTATTTGATCATGTTGTTTCATGTCAATTGAGCTTATCGTGTAATAATAGCTGCAAGGCACTGGTATGCTTTACCATCTCTAAGGTTACCACACATTTCTTTATATTTGTTTTACAAGTATATTAGGCATACTAGTGATCCTTCTTTCTTAACCTTATTTGCCTATCCTTTCAGGATTACAGGCAAACTCATCCTGAAGTCACAGTTCTTGATCCTCCAGATGCTATTCAACATTTACACAATCGCCAATCCATGCTCCAGTGTGTTGCTGATATGAACTTGTCCATCTGCTATGGTAATTAACATTAATTATATTTGTAGGCATTATATTCCAAAGGAAGTTTTTTAAATTTTCACCCTTGATGTAAGTTTATGAATGACCAGCCTGTTAAGCAAATTTGTTTCTCTCTTATGCTTATCAAAGTGATTATGATGATTTACAATGCAGGAAAAGTTGGCGTACCTAGACAATTAGTGATTGACAGAGATGCATCATTGATCCCTGAGGTTGTTACCAAAGCTGGACTGACTCTACCCCTGGGTATGTATTTGGGCTTTACACCAACTTGGTTGTGAATACTGACCTTTGAAATGCTATTAAATTTGCTGATTTCGTGTTTAAAACCACTGACTTGTTTCAGAGTCACAAATCAGTTATTTTATCTTTTTTCCTTTTTCTTTTCTTCGGGTTTGTGCTTTGTGCTTTGTCTGAAGGAAGTTTGTAATTTGTATACTCCTATTGTTTCAGTTGCAAAGCCATTGGTTGCTGATGGGAGTGCAAAGTCGCATGAACTTTCGCTTGCTTATGATCAGTATTCCCTCCAGAAACTTGAACCTCCACTTGTTCTGCAAGAATTTGTTAATCATGGTATGCAAATTAAATTCTCTTCTCATCCTCACATGCTTGTACATTCTCTTTACCACAATTCTTTCAAAACTCAAGCTCTGCCTTATCCATCACGGTTGTAGGAGGTGTTCTGTTTAAGGTTTATATTGTTGGTGAAGCCATTAAAGTGGTCAGACGATTTTCTTTACCTGATGTCTCCAAACAAGAGCTATCTAGAACTGCTGGTGTATTTCGTTTTCCAAGGGTTTCTTGTGCTGCAGCTTCTGCAGACGATGCAGATTTGGACCCTAGTGTGGCTGGTGAGTGAAATATGTGTTCAGTTATGGCCATAAATTTGTAGTTCTGAACTGAAGTTAGTGGTGGCTTGGGGCTACTTGTGGCTTCAAAGTGGCTCTGAATAATGTTGAGGCCTTGAAAGTTGAGCAAAAGATTTTGGCAGACCTTTCTAACATAAATTTTTAATCTCTCCAGAGCTTCCTCCACGACCTTTACTTGAGAGACTTGCTAAGGAACTACGTCGTCAACTGGTAGCTAATTGAATTTCCCTGTTTTCTTTTGCAGCAGCTTACAAGTTATTCCTGTATGGATTATTCTGATGCCTTCTTGATTGTCTGTTATATGCAGGGTCTCCGCTTGTTCAATCTGGATATTATCCGAGAACACGGGAGAAGAGATCATTTTTATGTCATTGACATCAACTACTTCCCTGGCAAGTGAAAACTTATCTCTTATTCTCAGCTTCACTTTAGAGCGAATAATATGTTCTTGTTTGTAATACCTTTAACAATGCTAGACAGCAGTTTAATCGGTGTTGAAATGTTGCAGGGTATGGGAAAATGCCAGAGTATGAGCATATATTTACAGACTTCCTCTTGGGCCTGGTACAGAGCCAGTACAAGAAAAAATCAGGCTAGTGAATGTTTTGAAGGGCTGTTTGATGCTTAAAAAGTGGCCGGTGACTGAATATGGAAGAAGTGGAGCACTATGTGCCTATTTCGGAGAATTATCATGGTCCGAATTAAGTATTAGCAGGACCAGGTCCTGTGGTTGTTTTGGTTCCTTGTACATCTTCACCCTACTAGCATCTGGAGGAATGAATTATGCAAAATGCAGAATATGCCAACCTCCGAACTTCTGTAATTACTGACTAACTGGTAGGATGACTCCTGCTTCTGAAACCATCATGTACACCGCTCGTTATAATACAGCTTGGCTTAATTCTTGCTCAATTCTTTTGTTCTCTCTTTCCATTACATTCTGCTGTTGGTAGTTGGTGAATTCATCCAAAATTATTATGTTATGTAAAGGCATATCTTTTTATTGATTATATAAATTTGAATTGTAAATAATAGTGTAAATTAGAACACTGATATTATAGGTTTGTTAGACCTAATCTGAGGTGCTAGATTCATTGTCTCCCATTGTTGATGATTGCTTGGACTATAAACGCACAGCAACTGAACCCCGTTGATCTTGTAAATTTCAAGATTAGCTTCCTGAGATGCACATTCCAAGTTCCAACAGCCCTGGTTATATAATATTTTCTTTGATACTATGATTTACTGCATTGAAATTTATACGGTTGACAAATGTCCATACTCCATAGCACAAGGCGAAGAAGACTGAAAATTGAATGGGGTATCCATTATTTTTACTTACGACATAGTTGTAATGTGACCTTGTGTTAAAAACATAAATTACTACCTTGACGACTCTTCCATCTCTGCTTTACCAAACACCGTCTCAGTAGGATTAGGATCTATCCTACTACGTTACTTCTAAGTAGATTTTCCAGGATGGTCAGTTTGAACTTTTTGACTTTTCACAATATTAGAAAGAATCCTCCAATTTTATCAGTGAAGTAACAAAACTATACTCGTTAAAATGGACAATACTATTAGTTCATCTTCTTCAACTTATTTTATAAAACATTCGCTCACTCATTTGTTTTAATTTGCTGACCTCAATGTTGTAGGATAATAACATTTGGTTTCTCCTGCATTAGCATCCAGGGTAAGGGGTAATACAACACAATACAATAGAAAAACTTAGTCTAATCGCATTTCATTTTCAATCAAGAAAAGAGGAACAGAATATCATGACATAAAGCGAGAAGATGAACCACAAAGTCTCAAAGATAAGCACAAATAAGAAATAATAACAACCAAGAAACTACTCACTTCCAAGTGGTGCCTGCAAATCAGAAAGAGATGGCACAGCAGCCTCAGCCCCAGAATCAGAAACAAGAGTCCAATCGGGAGGAAGCGGAGGCAACGGAGCATAAACAGTTGGTTTGCGCTTGATATCCCATGCCTGAGTCTTGCGTGGCCTGGTCTTCATGTGATGTGCCGTCGCCTTCTTCTTTGGCCTTGACGAGTTCTCAATCACCAACCCAACATTACAGTTTCCACCAACTGGTATCGTCTTCGTAGAAAAGTTGGGTACCAGGATAATTCCGGAACCAAATAAAGAAGAAGAGCTTGACATGGTAACCGCTGTTGAGGTCTTTGCAACACAGGTTTCACAGTAGTGGAGATACACTTTGTGCTGAAGACGAAGACGATGGTTTTCTTGTGGACCTTTCAATTGGGATTACGAACATTATCTAGGCTTTCCTACTATCATTTCCAAACTTTTATTGGGCCTTTCGCCATCCGAATTGGGCTATGCTGGAATGGGCTGGGCTGGGCTGGGCTGTGGAGTTCAATGCTATGAGTCTTTGCGGTTTCTTCATAAGTTTATATCTTAATTAATTAAGATTTTATGTAAACGCGATAGTCTTCATTTGGTTTATTTGATTTTACATAAAATAATTTAATAAATCTTAAACAATGCTGCTACCAAAAAAAAAAAAAAAAAAAAAAATTATTCATCAATCGATTGGCCATTATATATATATGTTATGTTTGATTTTTTCACCAAGCCCGGGCTATCGCGAGGATGTAGTTCAACCCAGGATTAGTCCGACTCCACCGGTTGTCTGACCTAGCACAAGCTAGTCGCGAATAACCTGAATGATCATTAAATCAATTCCTAGGTAACTTCAAATCCTATATATGACTAGATTAACAGCAATTTCTATGCAATCACAGTGTTGAATCACGAGAATATCAGAATTATAATTCAGATCAATTATAATCCCTTTATTTTCGCTATTTCCTTTATACAAACTTGTATATAAACCCTTTCAAATGACAAAAAAGAGGTTACGATATTTACACAAAATTCTCATTGTAAACTCTCACAGTAAATACAAAAAACAGTGAACGTAAGCTTAAGAGTTTTCCCGTCACCAAATCACTTTAAAATTTTTCATTGTTGTTTACTTTATTGCATTCAATACTTGTTTATCGCTAATTATCTGTAATCACGTAGGAATTCTCTTGCGGTGTAGATTTCTGTATCATATATATAATATAGTACATGTATTTAAGTTCACTGGTATCGTTTGGGTTTAATTGCCATATTGTTATAGGCTCAAATGTACACACAGTTACGCTGGATCGGCTGTTAAGAATTAAAAAGATAATATGGGGAGCAGAGTACAAGTTTAATGTATTCTTTTTGTGTGGATGTGATTAAGTCTCTCACAAAGTCTTATTTAATATCAGTAAGAAAGTTAGCCCAGATTGTTCTAGAATTTCATATGCTAATTTTCAAGTTAGAAAACAGCCCAAATCCATAAATGGATTAATAAAAAAGGGAGAATGATTAGACATACCCAAGGTTTACCGAAACAACAGGTTAATATCTAAAAGGTTTTAAAACGATAAATAGGTACCTTCCGTCATGTTCTGTTAGTGATTTTCGTTTGATAATAGTGAAAAGACTAAAATACCCTTGAAAGTTTAATATTTTAGTTTTTTTATAAATTTAAAAATTTCTAAAACCCCCTAAGTTTGCTAATTTGACTAAATACCCCTATATATAAAAAATTTATAAAATAACAAAAACACCCCCGTCACCCAGATTCCGGCCACCACCGCCGAGATCTGGCCGAAAAATTGTGTTACGATACAGACCCGTCGGATCTGTGTCGTAACGCGCCGATCTGGCCTTTTCCGGCCAGATCCGTGGCTGAAATGGTCGGAAAAGGCCAGATCTGGCCGTCGATGCAGCAGATGAAGTTTTGCGGCCTCGACGGCCAGATCTGGCCTTTTCCGGCTATTTCAGCCACGGATCTAGCCGTCGTGGCCGCAAAACTCCATCTGCGGCGTCGACGGCCAGATCTGGCCCTTTTCAGCCAGATCGGCGCGTTACGACACAGATCCGACGGGGTCTGTGTCGTAATGCAATTTTTGGCTAGATTCCGACGGTGGTGGTCGGAATCTGGCAGCAGGTGGTGGGGGTATTTTTGTTATTTAACAAACTTTTTATATATGGAGGTGTTTAGTTAAATTAGCAAACCTAGAGGGTTTTTTAGAAATTTTTAAAAAACTAAAATATCAAACTTCAAGGGTATTTTAGTATTTTCACTGTTAACAAACAGAAATCACTAATAGCATATGATAGAATGTATCTGTTTATTGTTTCAAAATCTTTTAGGTACTCACTTGTTGTTTCGATAAATCTTGGATATGCGAAAGTTGCTTGGCCAATAAATAATGACATTCCTACGCCAAACTGTCTCAGGACCCCATCATTCGTCGTCATCCGCTTTATATTACTCATCTCACGTGCCCCCTTACTCTCCACCAATCACATCTTATCTCATACAAACTCCAACTCTTAACTGGGTAATACATTAATAATATGCCTATTTTCTACTCCTAAACTTTTTTTCATAGCCTCAACCGCAACCTAACAGTTTACTATTCATCCGTTTATAATGAGTTCCATTTATTCAATTATGATCCTATTAATTACAAGTTATATATCAAAGTTATGAGAAAAAATTTATAGGATTAAATTGTGAGTTAATCTTCTTATATATACTATGTTTAAAATAATATATTACTAATTTAAACAAATAAAAATAAAAAAGATCTAATTATTTACAAATTATTTTTAACTTCAAATAAAAGGGTTAACTAATTTTATAGTTTATGAAGATGAATATATAAAAAAAAAAAAAATTCAGTTACTGATTTATTTATGCATATAAATATAGACTATAGAATAGAGTAGAGAGCTTCATGTATTATTTATCACGCACGCATAAATGCACAATGTAATCTTTAAGAGGGAAAAAAAAACAGATCAACGGTCCCAGATCATCCAATCATATCTGTCTTCCCCTCATCCAAAAAATAGGACCCACTAACATATTTGCAGTCGATATTCACAACAAAGACCAAACCACGTGCGGCAAGATACACATGCGTCTGATTTGTAGTAGGCGCCTTATACTAAAACAAGGGCAATTGCGTCATTTAGAAAAAGAATAGACTTACAAAAAGAGCAGGTCAAGTGAAGCTATATAAAAAATTTAAAAATAACGGATTAAGTAAGCGAGGGACCTAAGATAGCTTCAAGTTCGGTCCGTCTGGCATTAAACTCCAGGCTGTAACCAGCTGTACTCCATTCTCTGACTCTACTGTTTTTGTTTTTGCCCACTGAATCCTTTGCCCTTCACACTCTCTCTCTCCGTTTTCATTTGGTTTTATTTAGGTTACCTGCAATAACAGCGAAGCCTTTGAAGATGAAGCCAGTTGTGTTTGGTACCCATTGCGCATCCCCATGCTTTCCACTCTTCCAATCACACTCTCTTTACATTTAACCATAACTCCTCACTCAGCTACTTGTCTTTGTTTTCTTTCTTCCACTGAATTTTCACCTAACAATGGATCCTTGCCCTTTCGTGCGCCTCAGTGTAGGCAATCTCGGTCTCAGAATCCCTGTCGCTGCGAAACCGGCTCGCTCAGTGGTGCACCCTTCCTCCTCTCCATGTTTCTGCAAGATTAAATTGAAAGGTTTTCCAGTTCAAACTGCGGTGGTTCCGTTTGTTCCATCTGAAAATTATTTCCCCGATAACCAATTGCAAACCATGGTCGCAAGTTTCCATCTCAGCAAAACCGATCTGGACAAGCTCGCAGTAAAATCAATCTTCTCGGCTAAAATATTTTTGAAAATTTCTATATATACGGGGCGGAGAGGCACGACCTGCGGCGTAAACTCTGGGAAGCTATTGGGGAAGGTGTCTGTGCCGTTGGATCTGGCGGGAACTGAATCAAAAGCATGTGTGTTCCACAATGGGTGGATTTCTGTTGGAAAAGAAGCAAAGGGCTCGTCTTCGCAGTTTCACTTGAACGTGAAGGCCGAACCTGATCCTAGATTTGTGTTTCAGTTCGATGGGGAACCTGAATGTAGTCCACAAGTGTTTCAGATTCAAGGCAATATCAAGCAACCCGTTTTTACTTGCAAGTTCAGTTTTAGAAACACTGGTGATCGCAATCAGAGATCCAGGTTAGTTATTAATTTTTTAATTTGCAAGTTTATTTTTAGGGTTTTGGATTTTCTTAGTTGTTTTTTATTGTCTTGTTATTGCAATAATATATTTGATTCAAAGTCTTTTATTGGCAATTTTGCTAAAGATAAATTTCTGTTTTAAGTAGAGATTCTTACTATAATTTGAATGCCTCAATTAAAGTGTACGATAAAGTCAGTGTTTTAATCCAAGTATTTACCTTTACTCTTTCTAAAGTAACATAAAGCTCATAAAGCAACAGATTATATGTCCCATTGTTATCCTTATTAGGCTAAAACTATCTATTCACTATTTTTATTTAATTTTTGCCTGTTCTTCAGATCATTACAGTCCGAGGCAAGCAGTGCAAGAAGCTGGCTAAGCTCATTTGGCAGTGAAAGAGAACGACCTGGAAAGGAACGAAAGGGATGGTCAATCACGGTCCACGACCTATCCGGCTCTCCGGTAGCCGCTGCTTCCATGGTAACCCCTTTCGTAGCCTCTCCCGGCTCTGACCGGGTGAGCCGCTCCAACCCTGGTTCCTGGCTTATCCTCCGTCCCGGTGACGGAACCTGGAAACCCTGGGGACGCCTCGAAGCCTGGCGCGAGCGTGGCGCCTCTGACGGCCTTGGTTACCGTTTCGAGCTGATTCCCGACTCAGCTGCAGCTGGCATTGTATTATCGGAGTCAACTCTCAGTTCCAACAAAGGCGGGAAATTTTGCATTGATTTAGGAGGTAATTCTACAAACGGTCGCGCCACGCCGGCTAACTCGGCTTCGCCGGCGTGCAGTCCGCGGAATAGCGGTGATTTTGGATACGGTTTATGGCCGTATTGCATGTATAGAGGATTTGTGATGTCGGCTAGAGTGGAAGGAGAGGGAAAGTGTAGTAAACCTAATGTGGAGGTAAGTGTACAGCACGTGAACTGCACGGAGGACGCAGCTGCTTTCGTGGCTTTAGCCGCAGCCATTGATCTCAGCATGGATGCTTGCAGGCTTTTCTCTCAACGGCTGAGGAAAGAGCTATGCCAACAGCAGGATTTACTCGGATAATTCACTTTTTTTTCTACGTTGTCGTATTGCTTTTTTCTTTTATTTTTTTTTTTTTTTTTTTTTGGGGTGTGACTCTGTGAGAGACTTACTATTGCTACTAACAAACAATCAACAGACTGTACAGTGAAGGAAGAGAGAGGTATTAGACAGGCACGCTTTGTTTTAACCCGTGTGGCTTGTATTAATTTTCCTTTTTGAAAAAAAGGTGTTTTTTTTTTTTCTCCAAATATTGTGGTCACTGACTGACTGAGACATTTAAATTGTTTAGTTAGATGTAAGGATTGATGAGGTGGAATGTATGAATTGGTCAATTGTTAGTAGGCAATTAATTTAATCTCTCATTACCTTACCTTTTGTTGGTGCCTTTCTATCTAAAATAGCTTTAGTTATTATATGGAAGAGATTGAGGAGTTGGTGGCGCCTTCTCAAGGGATATGTCAATTAAATAGTGATCAACGAGAATTGAGGATGATAGCTGTAATGCGCTTTAAAGACACAACTTACCTATAACTTAATAGTACTTTGCATAGAGGTAGAATCATGGTATGTTAGGACTTATGGAGCTAGTGGTATTAATTATTGCAACTCATTCTTTTAATATGTAATAAAAATTGATTGTGGCAAATATCACGTCTACTCTACAACATTTACATTATGAACAAGAATAAGATATGGCTAAGACAAGAGTTGGATTTATTAATGGGTTCATTTGATTCTAAGGGGACCATAACCATAACCCATTTGATTCAAAAGAAGAAGAAGAAGAAAAAAAAAAAAAAAAAAACCAAGAGTGAAGGAGGTTTGTGTAGAAATGGGTAAAACTACAGTTGAAAACAGTTGCGTGAGAGATTCGTAAGGCTTACGTTAGGGGCCATTTCATTAGTTTATAATATAATTTGGATGGTTGGGGACTGCCGTCGCGAATCGAAAATGAATAGTCATATTCACGTCTTTCTTATATTCACAGCTTTTATTGGAAAGAGAAGCGTTTAGAATGTGTTGTGGGGAAGGTAGTAGATGGTGGAAGTGGGTCACATGATGTGGTATGCCCTTGTAATTGAGCACCAAAACTAAAACCAATCGGGCCTTGTGCCTAACAGTACCACCCAGCAAGCAACCAATCCAAACCCAGTTAGCTACTTAGCTACTGTTCTCGTTAATTTTCCAAAAAAAATAAAATAATAAGTGGTGAATAACGTACAGGTTCACGGGTGAAGTAGAAGAAGCAGTGAGAGAATAGTTGATTAGCGCGCTTAGTAAGGGGAATCTAGGGTTTTATTTTAAGTGGCAGGTAGAGAGAGTGGTGGTTTTGGTGGGTGGTAATCTATTGTTAAGTTCGGCAACATATATGAATTTCAATAGCTTTTGACTTATTTTGGATTTAATCATTTTTATTCACCTTCTAATTATTATTTCTCTTCACAATCCAACATGCTCGCATCATTTTAACTAATTATTTCAAATAACTGTGTCTCTTCAAGGTTAATTTATGATTGTTTATAAAAAAAAATATATATATTAGTCGATGTCGATGACGCATAAAATTACGTAGTCACAGACTTATTCTCAAACTTAATCAAGTCCTCTAAGCCAAGCTGTATCCAAATCTCAATTTATAGAACTCTTCAATAAACCATGTCAGTAATAGTACCCATTTGGTGCAAATTGCAATTTTCTACTTATTTTTTTTTCCTTAAAAAAAAATTATACAAGGAGTGTTTGGATCAGTTTATGTATATCTCGACAAATCCTTCGACCCTGAACAAGGTTTTCAAAATAGGACAAACCCTGCGATCCGTGACCAATAATATTAGCAACCGTTTTTGTGATTCGAACCTAATACTACAGAGAAAATAAACCTCTTGGCCCTAAGCCTTTACCATTAAGCTAACCCATTATTGGCTATGAGCTGCTTATGGTTATCCAACAACAAATGTTATCCAAGAAGACAAAAATTAAAAAGAAATTTGCAGGCTAAAGTTAGGATGATTAAAAAATAAATAGATATATAGTTGTTGTAAAATGAAGCCAAAGTGGCGGGTGTTGAATCTCCATGCAGACTCCAGATCACTTCCAGCTGTGTAAGTGTGTATTCAAATTTTACACCATCACTCCAAACAACTTTGTACTATAAACCAAGTCTTAAACAAATGAGGATCCAACTGTAACCCGGCTTTTAGTTTTCAACTTTTCTGCACCAAAGCACATTGCATCTGCACTTTTAATCACATCAAGTTATAAATTATGGACAAGATTTGGAGGAGTATTGAACAAGATAACTATAGTTAGTGGGGTTTCTTAGAAATAATACAATAGATATTGAGTGATTTTCTTTTTATTTTGGGGTAAAATTGACAACTTCTTTTTCAACAAATGCACAAATAAATAAATAAGATTTTTTATTTTTGTAAAATTTAAAATTATTTATAATAAAAAAAAGAACTGAGAGATGTTATTTAAGCCCGGCTTATTATCTAATTTGAATCCATTTTTGAAACTCCTCTCTCTTTCAAGAAATTCTTTGTAAGGTGTTATGAGGTAAATTCATGCCCACACTACATGTCTTGTGACTATGCAAATGGAGCATGAGCTATCGTCATATGTTCTATGATTTTACATCTGTCTAGGTCATGTGTCACGCTGTGAAGGAATTACTTCATTTGTAAAACTACTACAGGTTGCTTCAACAGTAAAGTTTAGGACTGAGCTATTATCCAGGTCACTCATCTCATAAAAGGGCTATTTCACTAGTCTCCAATAAGAGTGGTTTGTCACTTGTTGTGTGATGAGAGGTTTATTTCATGAGCAAGTTCGCCTATGTAACAATATAAATAAGGGGTTTTCACCTCAAAGAAGGGATTCGAAATTTCATTTTCCTCAATAACTAAAAGCAATTGTCTCACTTGAGAGCAAACATGCCTTTGTAAACACACAAGAAAAACATTAAGATAACAATAGATGTAGTATTTACAATTTACATCTGAATTACTTTAAAAATTGCTTTTGTGTTATCTTTATTTATTTACTCGTATTATTATTATTATTTTTCTCATTGATTCAACATCGTATTCTCGATCACTAATAGATCCTTGCACGAACTTCCCCAAAGGTTCACTTACTCTCGTTGGTGTGAGAAATGGCAACAACATAGGGAAATATTAGTTACTCACAAAGAATATTGTAGCTATAGTTATTGTTTTATCTCATAATTGTGGAGAGAATACAACTTTACAAGAATATATACATTAGGACTTAGGGTTTATTATTCGAAAACTAAAATTTAAACTTGTTCGGGGAGAAAATATGTCAACAAAACTACTTGAGTTTTAATTTTTTTTCTTTTTTTAAATGAGGGTAAATTTGGAATTAAATTACAAATGGAGTTTACTAGAGTCAATTTGGGGTGGGGGTGGGGGTGGCTATTTTGCTAGTACCACTCACAGTGGGTCGGGGTGGGTGTGTTTATTTTGCTAGTACCACTCACAGTGAGCATAAAATATTCCAGAGGCAAAAAGATTCACTACAAAACCAAAGTCAAGTGGTCAACCATTTAAAACGCTGCGGTTTACTATCTCTCCTTGTTAAGCTAAAAAGAAAAAACAAGTTCGAAACACAGTGAGCCACATACAAAGAATACAGTGACTGAAGAAGAAAGGTGAAAGATGAAGGCATTGGGATGGTGGCTGATGCTGGTGGGTTTTCTTCGGTTGGCCTCCGTATGGTTCGGCTTCTTCGATATTTGGGCTCTCAGACTTGCTGTCTTCTCCAACACTACCAGTATGTTTCGCTCTCTCTTTTCACAAATCTACAGTTTCTTTGTCTTTTTTATTAGCAATGTAGTTTCTCTTCAATTAAAATCACATGATAGGAAACTTCTCCTTTCATTGGTCATTACTGAATTTGGAGACAAACTACTGTATTTGTGGGCGTACATGTGGGTCAGTGCATCTGAACCCAGACACCGATTTACGTCACAAAGTTCTTATTTGAGATCCCAAAGTCTGGAGATTTTAAGATTCTTGGGATTTACTCAATTAAAATAACCATTATTCACGTTTTGTAAAAAAGAGAGGAAAGTACTTTGAAAACGATAACCAGATAATGGGGCCAGACCTGGTAGCTTTGAATTTATGTTTAATTGGCAATATAAAGAATGATTCTGACAACATAATAAATTTGAAATATTATGTTAATATGTTAAGATTGTATCTTTGATCACAGCATGAAGTATTTGAAAAACTAAGTCCAGCTTCAGTTCGTGGTATGTTTCTGGAGTGATTATGTTAGATAATATATGTATTTAGACATGTTGTAGTCGGTGTTAAAAGGGCAATAACTTTCTGTTGAATTTTAGATGATGTTAGTGGATTCAGATCTCTATTAACTGCTTTGCGTATAACTGGGGTTGGACATTTTTCTTTTGATGTTGATTTGGTTGATTAAATCGACAAAACCAAGAAAGATACATAGTGTTAATTAAAGTAAAAAATAAAAATAAATAAATAAATAATTGAATAAGTCATTTCAAGTTCAAAGGCCAAGATCAAGAAAAATTATTGGATAGTGATAGAGAGAACAATAACAAGGGGATGAATTTGCTATGAAGACTCTGGATTTGGAGTCTGATTTTTGAGAATGATGTACGTTGGTGTCTTAGACTAAATGAAAGGAGAAAATCGAAAGAAAGGAAAAGATTTTGCTGAGCACAATGTGGATTTGTTTCCAGGTGCTGAAACAGCGATCTTCAAAGTGCATGCATGTTTAATTTTGTGCATGAAATGAAAGATTATGTTATGATAAAGGAAGACATTGCGGATTCTTTATAGAAAAGACATATTTGAGAAAAATATGGGATTTGATTTATATTGAACGCATAAGTGATGACCTAGGGAATGGTGGATCTTCAGAGCACTAATAAGGGGGGGTTGAATTTGCTTAGCTGAGACTGAACTTGAGTCTGATGGCGAAGATAGAAATAGAATGTTGGGTTTCCATCACAATACCCCTAAAAAAAATAGAGGTTTTGCCAAGCACAATGTGGATTTGTTCATCTTTGCTGCATGTTATTTTTGGTGCATGTATGCAATTTGTGTTCTGTGTCTTTAGCCATTGATCAGTTCTCAGATGTGTCTTCAGCATGATTTCTGCATTCATATTCTTTCCAAACACTAAGTACTTTCAAAATGTGTTCTCACTTTTAGACTTTGCTGTATCCTAGCTTCACGTGAAGTTTTAGCATAGTCAAGTTGATTTACGGTGTTGACCTAAAAGATTCCTTCCCAATAAAATAAGGAGAGCACAATCCCTTCATTCACGGTGAAAGTGTATGACTAGAAGCCACTCATTGCTGTGGTGAACTATTTGGTTGAGAAAGTTGAAGAAACTTAGAGAAAGTAAACAATTTGAAATTTCAGATTACTTGTTGCCTGGAAGCCAACAGAACAAAACTTCTATTCATTTGAACTTGACATACTGATTTGCACTTGTTGCATTAAACCTTGGATAGATACAATGGTTACTCAAGTTTTTCTTTTCATATATTATGGCTAATTATTGTTAGTCCTATATCTTTTTAAGATGTTAGTTGCGAACAAATTTTTCTTGTAGCCTTATGGAGGACTGATTAAGTTCATGTAAGTTAAACAAGTGGAGAAGAGGGATGATATCCTTCCAACAATATAACTACAAATTAATTTTTCCATATGACAAAGCATTACTGTAAAGTGTCTACTGGGCTGTATTTTCTAACTACAGTATAAACATTTTTCTTGCTCAAATATAATATGAAGCTTCTTGGGTTTCCTTCACTGTTGAATGGATATCTAATTAATCTCATCACGAGAAAGACAAAATGACACATGTTCATCAAAAGAACTTACGTGTTTCAGTATCCATTTTCTAATTTTTGTATGTGGTGTTTTCTGCTAACAAATTCTTGATGATCTCTGTCTCTCTGTGAATGCCATGTAGTGACTGAAGTTCATGGAAGGACATTTGGGGTCTGGACGCTTTTGACTTGCACTCTTTGTGTTCTTTGTGCATTTAACCTTGACAACAAGCCACTATATTTGGCAACCTTCTTATCATTTGTGTATGCTCTTGGCCATTTTTTGACTGAATACTTAATATATCAGACAATGGCGATCGCAAATCTTACAACTGTCGGCATCTTTGCAGGTATTAGTTTTCTTAATTAAAACCGACCATCATATTATGCTTGTTTTTCCTATACACTTTGAAATTGGATTGAAATTGCCCGGTTTGTTTTCCTTTAATTATCTTCAGTGTTAATTTCATATCAATGCAAAAAGCTGATCAGTTTGATATCTGATCTTGGATAGCATCTTAACAATGATCGCTTAAATACTGATTTTTCTACTTCAGTTTCTGCTATTGGGCAAAATTTACAACTAGAACTTGTTAAGTTCTATATTTGATGTTGTAAGTTCTCATTAGATCTTGTTGCTTGATATCATTTTTAATTGAACTGTTTGTTTTGACCAGGCACGTCAATAATTTGGATGCTGTTGCAGTGGAATGCACATCAACCGGTCCATCACAAGGATTCTTGAAAATGGATAACCCAATGACTCCTTATTGCAAATACAGGGGATTCATTTTTCACTAAATTCATGTGTTTTAATATCAAACTATCATCATTCATTCCATCGGGACTTCTTTTTACAATTTAGTCATCAAGTTTTTCTATGTAAACATGCACAGAATTACGTAAATGTATTTTCGTATCAAAAACCTTTGACTGTAGATTAGAAACGGTGCTGCTCTGACCTTCGCTGCCCCTGTATTTATGATGTTTTCCTCTAATTGAGTGTTGCAGGATTTCATGTGCAAATCAACATTTTTCAGTTTCCGAATTTCCCGATTAGAAATTTATGCTATAAGCGTACATTGTGCTTGTGGTCCTTACCTTACTCCTGGCCCAAAGTTGGACTTCTATTCCCCAGTCTATCTATCAACATTTTCTTTAAGTCGTAGGGAATTAAAAACCCAGATTTTTAGACCAACAGTTTTGCTGCTCACAAGAAAATGATTTCTTGTACGTGCTTCGAATTTTATTGATCTAAAAGGCCTGCGCCACAACATTTTGTATCTCAGGTCAGATACCGTGTCAATTTCAATTTTCATATTTAAGTTTGCCAATTTTTAATATTGCTTTGAACGTCGGTTAATCTCAATACAGATTATTTAATTTTAATCTGGTCTCATTTGTTTATATTACGTTCTTCTTGACCCGGTTAACACACTTAATGAACATATTTTTGCAAATTAAAAAAAAAAAAAAAAACTCTTTTAATTAAGTTAATTATATAACACTGTAAAATATATTTCGTAATTTCATTAACCTGATTTCAAAATTTTACTTTATTCAAACTACAATGTGTTAGCTTAGTTGTAAATTACAATAGACAATAGGTGAATGGCTATGAAACCCTCTAACCCATCATCAGCTGACAGTTGACTGTTAACCTCAACCCGAGTTAAGTCAGTCGAGGCCTTTCCCAGGCAATAACTAAACGCCACCGTTATCAACCAACTACCCTAACACACACCTGTTTTACTTTTGATTAAAAATATTTACACATACGAAGAAAACTTAAAATTAATCTGGTATGCGTAGAGCATGGCATATAGGTGGATGAACATAAGTTACAATTTTTCCTTCATCCCTAGTGTCATCTGCATACTCTTAATATACTCCCTGGTAAAAGTTATACACATTTGATGGGAGTATTTACATGCCAAATTTGATTATTTCATCTAGGCATGGCTGGACATTAAGCAAAAACATTTGTACAATTGCCTATGGAAATATGTATCTTCTGAAAATAGCTAGGACTTCTGAGTAAATCCTCCTACAAGTTCATTAGAAAGTAGCTGCATCTTCACATTTATTTGCTACAATTTTGGTTCTCCAAGCAAAGTCTTCAACCCAGGTTGATCTTCTTCTCTACTTCTAGTTGCTCCTCTTTTGTTTGGGAATTTCTTTCACCTCCATGTTGGGCTTGATTTACTGATGAAATTCCATCCTCAAAGTGACTGCCCGCTCCTTCATTCTCTTGCTCTTCACTTTCTTCTTCCACCCTATCTTCTTCATCAATGGGATCCTCAAATTCTTCAGATTCTTCTTCTTCCAATTTCTCTTGATCATGTCCATCTATCTCATCGTCTCCACCTCCTCTTCCTTCTTCCTCGCTTTCTTCATTTTTATTCTCCCCCACCTCTTCAAACTCCATATTAAATACTCCTTGCCGATCTTCTTGCCTATCTACGTCCAAAGCTGTTTGCAGTGTTTGAGAGCGGATATCCTTCCTGCCAAATTTGATACTTTCATGTCCACTCTGCACTTCTGATACTGTTGCAGTGTCCTTCTTATATACTCTCTTTTCATCGTAGCAGTGCTTGACTTGGTGAAGCAACCATATGCAAATGGCAAGCAACAAACATATCTGAACAACATTCTTCACCTTGAATCCTTTAGTCCTCAGGTTTTTACTAGGAGATTGCTTCAACAAGGACATACTTTATAATATATAAATTTCCTTCAATTATACGCAGAAAGCGGCAAATCCCATCAGCATAAGTGTAAACACACAGAAAAAAGAAAATGCAGGCAACACACAATTAAGGCTACAAGAAATAGAAAGGGAAACTCCAAGTAACTCTTCTATTGTTGTTTCTTAACTCTTTAAACAAAAATCTAAGTCAACACAAGCCTTCACATAGAAACTAAAACATTGACCTAAGACAACCATATACACACCATTCAAACAAGGTAAAAAGTAATCAAATTTTAGTAACATAATTATATTCGAACAAAAAGTTTAAAATCCCATAATAAGGGGTATTGCAAACATAGGAAATCAAACAGAAAACGAGATACCAACCATAGGGTGATTACAGCTCTTACAAGCTTTACTAATACAGGACACCAATAATAACTAACTATAAAAGGAAAATAAACATCATAAGAAGCCCTGTTATCCTCATCTTTCTACATTATAAAATATATATTGAACCCTTCCTCCTCACCTGCTACTCGACAACAATACGCAATAACAGCGACTCTGGCCAATAATTACATGCAAGTTTCACTAGTGACATCACCACTGAAGAAGCACACAATTTTGAAATTCAAAACCTACTGGAGTTTTGCTATCCAAGCAACTAAATTCACCAGAACTTTACCAAATAATCATGATAAAAACACCTGAAATTCCACATCTACGCAACCAAATAAGATAGAAAGGACAAATGAACACCATTTCATGATTTCAAAGAGGGGAAAGAAATGGTAACACCCCTCTTAGTTCCTATATATGACATTTTGCAGGAAAGCTTAAGAGTCTTCACACACACCAACTTGTAGCAACATGAACTATTGGGGGAAATTAGTCTTATGAATTCAACAATCTAGAAGTGTCCACAGTCCACTTCCCATAATTTAAATAAATGTCGAACTATAGTTGTTTAGGCAAAGGAGTAAAGTTTTATCAGAATTGAATGGGTTCAAAGTTCTCCAGTTGAAAACAGAACCAAATACCCAATAAAAAAATTACTTTCATAAATACATGATTTATCATAGATTTATAGTATCAGAAATATAATACGGGCTGCAATTAAGCAATTAAGAAAGAAGAAAAGACCAGCTGTACCCATTTAAGCATTCCAGCTACAATCAAGAGAAAGAACAATAACAAACTTTAAACTGGGAAATTTATTTAACATGACAACGAAAACCACAAAACTCATTTCAGCATTTGCTGTACCCAAATTAAAGAAGCCAAAAATCAATTGAAACTCCAAAATTTTAACTAAAGGTTAGCAACAGAAGTCATGAGACTGCTACAAATCTTATCTACAACCCTTAAAAACAAGATAATATCGCAAGAAAAAACCAAAAAGAAAAAGGTTACCTCAGGTGCAGCTAGATTACTTGCAGATCCTGATACGGTAATTAATCAAGAAAAAAAAAATGCTTTTTTGAGGCTATAGTGAACTGGGTAACTAGTAAGTCTTAGTTTATACGTGGAAAAAGGAAATTTAATGCTCCAAAGAAGTGGTGTATACAGATACAGAAGAGAAAAGGTGAAAGTGAGTTGTTAAGGAGTCGGAAGCATGTGTCTTTCTTGGAACAGAGAGAGATAGTGTGTGAGCAATATTTTCAATGCAATGTAGGACCTAATTGAGTAACATTAACTTTTGTAAATTAGTACAAGTTTGTTCTTGTTGATATTCACACATGTAATGATTGTTAATAGAAACAAAAAAAAGGAAAAAGCAATACCTCTCTCGCGTTAACTATAAACTGATCGTACATACATTACCTGTGAATTACAGAAACATCTGTTTTGGGCCGGGAGGCTCGAAAGTTGGAACCCAACTTTTCACTTTTGGTGAGTGTTGAATAGTGACTTAAATGAAGGGTGTTCAAAGAAATGGCTGTGATGTATTTAGTATTACTTGTTCGGTTAAATCCATGGTTGGAGGCCTTGTTGTCCACAAATTTTTAAACATTTCTGGTTTTGCACTAACGGGCCAACTGCTACTGAATAACCACAAATTTCTTCAAATTGCATAAACCAGCCAATTATTTATGTTGGGATAAACCCCATTTTAACTTCTCTCCCTCCTCGTGTCGAACTGCCAGTAGCCAAACTTTGGACGTTTGAAAAATAATGGATAAGTAGAGAGTGCATTTTGTGGTTGTTTAGAAACTCGACAGTTTCTTAGAACTACTCCAAACTGGGCCGACATTATGGCGAATTCATTTGCAAGTCATTTTCAAATGGAATAGATACACTAACAATCACAATTAATTTTAAGCAACAGAGTTTATAGCATGCAGTAGAAAAATGCTTGGAAGAAAGTAAAATTCTGATAGATATAGTTGAGTTTAATAAATTTTGAGTATCTGATCTTCAGCATGACGATCAGGTTTGTAACACATTCTTTAATTTTTATGTCGGTGTGGATTTATCTAATCTAGCTGTTAATTGGTTTCTCGTCTGGTTTCTGGGCTCATTCTTCCAAGCTAAAAGGACACGCAGTCACGCACGGCACCACAGACTTGGCTCTTTTTGCCTCTGAAATTACCAACTGAAAATTTTGGTGTCTTGAACCCGCCAACACTGGCAGAACAGAGACATAAGAGAGAAACATTTAATATTGTTATGTCTAAAAAAAGTTACGTTAATATCAGCCTAATAAGTCTGTTGTTAAACCTATATTTTTTTAAAGATATTTACGCAAATTTTATTTTATTATATTAAGTATTTAGGTGTATAAGTGGATATTCTGCTTCACCTATATTTTTTTAAAGATATTTATGCAAATTTTATCTTATTATATTAAGTATTTAAGTGTATAAGTGGATATTCTTAGTATTTAGGTGTATAAGTGGATATTCTTCTTCTCGAAGAAGGAGATTAGGTTGAGATTTGAACTTTATTTTATTCTCTATCTGTAAATACTATATTTCTTCATCTTTATATGTCTTACGGACAAAATCATAAAAATAGTCAGAAATCAATAAAATAACAGTGGATATAGGAATCGTTTGTTGAGCATCTGAATCATTATGAAAACCCTTATTGCTAATCTTTTATTTATGTTTTTTACAACATATATAATCTCAGCTTCATATTTAAATCTCATAAATCCATTACGTGTGATTCTTAAGCCCATTTAATACTTCTTATGTATAAATCGTTAGTGTCCAAAATCAAACGTGAACAAAGACAAAGTATTCAACTTTCGCTCTCACTCACTTGGGTATAACAACAGTAAGCGTCAACAAAGACAAAGTATTCAACTTTGCTCTCACTCACTTGGGTATAACAACACTATATTAGTGGATAATTACATCTTTAAATTCTATTGCTTACGGTCAAAAAAAATTTCAGTAACTTTTTTTTATGAATACAGTATGGTAGTTTATAATTAATTAACTCATAATAGATTTAGTATATCAACGATGAATCTCATCTAACCAATTATAAGTTTGTGGGAGAAAATTAGTCTCAAGAGTTTACAGAAAAAGCCAATAAGTTTCAGCAAGTGGATTATTTTGTGAGAAATCATCCATTTTTGTTTTTTATTTATTGATGCTTAGATGTTTTGTAGTATTAGTTTGACATATCTTCACAACTAAACAAAGTTTGACCGCACTTGAACGTCAGCAGTAATTTCTAGACAGTAAACAGAATGATTTTATGTAAGTAAAGTAACCAAAGGGGTTGGCGCAAAAGAGAGAAAAGCTCATGAATGACGGTGATGAGCCTTTAGTTTACTCTGTATACATCCATGGTCAGAGCCACAATAAATGTGGCATTTAATGTCTATACTAACTAGCCCTCTGTCCTCTGGGACAGGGATACACGTAATAGGATAATTACTGTACAAGCTATTCAACTCTTCCCGGGATGTTACGAAAAAAGGAAATGAAAAACCATAGATATGATATTTAATTAATAATAATATCCCTAAACTAGAAGTACCACTTATTTGTTTTACTTTCTGTTTGATGGGGGGTAAGGGTAAAAAGTTACTGGAACGCGAAATGAAATTACCAGTTTAATCATCAAAACAGAGAATGTATGGATTATTAGTAAGTTAAGAAAAAGTGAATATAATGAGATCATATGGTACGTTTGATGGTTTATCCCTTCGAGGTAGGCTGTCAAAATGAACAGGCTTTCTCTCTGATGCACAAATCTTGTAAGATACGAAACCAGAACTGTCTGACATGCTTGATACGAACCCATCTCCCCATCTTTTTCATCTCCTTTGAACACCCCATGTCGTCATTTACAATTTTATTTTTTGAATTTTGAAAGATGATCATTTATTACGCTGTTTTGTTTTCCATCTTATATGAAAGTTGTTAAAAGAAACCGCAATTGGACTAGTCATTACATAGATGAATGATGTCACTAAAGAAAAGAAAAGAAAAAAGGTTACCAAGAAATAGAAGAAAAGAATTCTGCCAAGTACAAGACTCTTATACAGGGGAAATCAAAGTTAACTCATACATACAAGAAAGTATACAATTGAAGTCAGAGATACACAAAAGCTCCATATCTGGAACCTCTTTAAGTAAAACAGTTCCTTGTATCAAGGATTGAAAATCAAGTTGTCGCACTTGCACTTCCAACTCATGGGCTTGTAGTTAGAGATGTCATCACCTCTATAGTATGAAACTGCAGAGAAGCGACTTCCATGGGCTTGTGCTCGGGTTCTCACCGGGACCTGAATTGCCTCACAGTGCTTACAAGAGCTGCACCTTCTCTCACATTTTGGCGGGCTTGACCCTATCATGCTCCTGCTAACTACCACCTTATCCTCTGCCATTTGTTTCTGTGTGCACGATTTGAAAATTTATTAACTAAAAATTGATGATAGCTACTTGTAAATAAAAATAAAAAGTTTGATGCAGAAATATCTGCCAATACCTGGGCAGCAGCCTCCGTTAGCTTGGATATTGCTCTACCTAAAATTCATGAAAGAACTGGAAGTGAGCAAAATAAAACGGAATTTTCATGTCTAGTAAATTTTTTTGAACTTAAACAAGGACATACTTACCTTCAGCCATGAACCTGACTTGGGTCAAGCTTAAAACCAAGAGGAAGAGCAAGTAAATAACCAGGTGTCTGTTTCTGCGGAAACATACAGAATTTTGAGAGACGCCCATTTTATCCGAGAGAAAGTGAGCGAGCAAAGCCTTTAGAAGGGGTAATTGTAAAGTATAGACTATAGAGAAAGAGAGAGCGAGAGAGAGAGCAGTGACTTAACAGAAAGAAAGAGGCTGAAAAAATTGAATAGTTGGCAGTGTAGAAAAGAAGTGAATCTGAGTTGCTGAAAAGTGTCAAAGAGAGGTTCAGTGATTGAATGCCACCTCCTTAATGCAAAAAAGATGGCTCACGCATATTCTAACCTTCGTATATATATCTATATCTCTCTCTCTAAGAAAGGGCGGAACGTGGAAGGCTAAAATATGAGTTGAACGAGGCTAAAAAAAGAGGGGGGAGGACCTCAACGGAAAAGGGAATGGCCTTGACCTCGTTATATGAGCCACCAAAAAACCAAGGCAACAGCAACACCGTATGGAAAAGAGTGTATATATATATATATATATATATATATATCAATTGTTATGGCAGCAGCGCAAGAAAAAGGAAGAATGGACAGCACAGCAAGAACAGTGTGTATGAGTGAGTGAAAAAAACAAAAACAGAAACAAAAGATATGGCACAAGTGCTTAAATGATAGAGAGGTTTCTGCAATAGGGCCATGTATTGTATGGAATTGGATTCTCGCTTTCCTTTATCTAAACTTTCGATTTGTCTCCCACGTTTGTGTTTTGGGCTTTGAGCAATTTTCACTTCAACACGCCAATATCCTTTCTCTTTACCTTGGGAAGAGTATATATATTTCGCTATTGCTATTACTAATAGAGGGTAGACATACTTCCAATACCATGACAATGAAATTGCATAACAAGCCATACAATTACATGGGAACTGCAACCAAGTATGGCTGGTGTGATTTTCCCATCAAATTCACCCACACTTAGGGAAGAGAGAATGCATACTTCCCCACCTTATTTATGTTGCCAAAAGTACCATAAAACATCCCTCCACCTCCAATTAAGATAATACCACTTTTTCACATTGCAAACACTCGTATATATACCACATTTTACAAACACTTTAAATGCTTCATTAATATACAGCACTTGTTGATTAAAGTCAAGGGACTAGATCATGCTTATTCAATTTTAAGATGGCAATTCATTTTATTCCATTTTTTGTGTATTTAAGATGTACAAACAAATACTTCACTTCACCTCCAGGAATCATCAAGTTGTCTTTAAAAGACCCAGAAGTTGTTTATATGGAATGGACCCAAGTCTGTAAAATTTTGAGAGGAAATAAGACACTAACAAAGTTACAAATAATAAGACAACATATATATTATTATTTTTGCGAAGTTCCACACCATGTTCCCATCCTTCCTGAGATAGACTTTTCACTTAAGTTGCATGCTTACACACAATTCCTATCTGCTTCTTTCCTCTCACCCTAAATTAATAATAGTTGAATCTAACTCTAAAGAGGATTAATAAACTTTAGTACAGAACACAATGCCAGACTAATGGGAGCAATATACCTTAGATTTATAATGTCACCGAAGGTTCTACTTGGATTAGGATGGAACAAATGCCTTAGACAATATCGTCAATCACAAAGGACCAAAATCAATAAGAATGAGGGTATTTCAATTCACATTGTTTGAGCTTATAGCTAGGCTGTCTAACCTGAATACAAATTAATATCCATCTATTCCCACACCTTCCCGAAGTAAAATGTAATATAACCTTTTATTCTATATTTAGAACTTCTGGTTATTAGGAATAATACTAAATAAGAATTACATCAATGTGTCTCTCTCTCCCTCATTTCTCTTTCTTTACTATGGTCTGTGCTAAACTATCGCCCATCTCTACCCAAGATCAAGCATCACAATTCCATTTTTGTCTAAATTGCGGAGATCTGCCATAATAGCTGCCTTGAACCCAGGTTCAGATTTAAGTCACTAAAACTAGGATTCCCTCATAGATTTCAATAGCTCAAGAAGCCACTGAAAATTGCATTTAAAATGCAACTATAACAACTTGGAACCTTTCAAGGGATAAAATTGTCAATCATATGTTGGATCACATCAGCTCCATCAGAATTGATACAATAGGTTTTCACCTGAAAATAGAGGATAAGATTAACAAATGTTACAACAGTGTCTCTTTAGAGGTAACTTCCAGAAATGAAGTATTGCAAATGCAGCACCAGTGGGCAGCGTAAGACTCAAGGCAGTAATTGATATTCCTAAGACTAACAGTGTATAATGAACTCTGTTTCCTAGATGAATCTAAAAAATGCACAAAACTTGCCTGAATGGTACTGTGAGCCAGAAATCTTTGCTTGCTTCCACTGAAGTTAACGTCAACCCGTTCCCAGCTCACAGCCGTCAAACCTCTGAGCATTTTCTCTACAATTGTTGCAAGTAATAAGCAGAGTGAAAATTATGTCTACAAGGCTAGAATTGATCTTCAACCATCATCTTTGAATTGAACTTAGAATTACTAGAATGCCATGGGAAGAAAATCATACATAGTTTTCTAATGCAAATAGATGATTTTACAACATAGTTTTCTAATGCAAATAGATGATTTTACAACTTTGTATTATCTGATTCATTCTTAAAATAACATATCTTGACCTTTCCTGAAGTGTTAAAATCCAATCAAACTCTTCAAAATCATTTTCAGCAATATTCAAATGGGCCGTCTGAACTCCTCATGGTTCAGCTCAATGGGGACTAGCCTTTAGTGCAATCTTCAGCCTATCCTAAGTCCATGTGAGAACCCCTAAAACCACTAGCAACCTAGGCCTCTGCCATATAAGACCAACCTGAGACCTAGTTTCAACCAAAAGTTTAAAATTTCTCTGTAAACAGCATTACAAAATCCAATTGCAGCCCCAGAATCACCCAAAGAGAATTGATTTGACCCAGATATCACATCTCAACTTCAGAATAAAAAATGCTTTGAAATTTTTGTGTTCAAATTGTAAATCTTTTACTAACCAGAGCTTGTTCCTCGTTCAAAAATCTTTACAAGCAATATATGAAATGACTATATAACCATAAGAAAGTTTGTCCCTGCTTGTACCCATGGTTTGACAATATACAGAAAGCAGATATTGGCAACTGGACATAATTGCAGGAAATAATTGTGCTAGTAATCTATGCATGTCTTATTTAAAATTTCTCACGTAGTAAAATGTATTATCATCACATTTAGTATTGGACTCTCAGATGTTCTTTGAGGGAATAAGAAACCCAGAAAAGTTATATCAATGATCAAATCACTACTGGACTCAAGATGAAAAATTGAATATCAATAACACCTTAAAATATGAAGAGACAACTAGCAAACCTTGAATGTCAGCAGTTTCACTTCCAGGTTTTATGCTCTCCAAATTGATTTCTTCTCGAGGACTTGCTGTTTTTGCTGTCTCCACATTTACAACATGTGGGTACTTGTCAGCTCTCCTAAGATGTTGCTTCTGATAGAAGAAAGAGTGAGATTAACTAATGCTAAATTCCTAGCAATAATAATAATAAATAACTAATGCTAGTATTCACAATCTATGCTAGACTTCAAAATTACCTTTGGGAGCTCATCCGGAAGCCGCAGTGATGATGTACTCCACCCTACAAGGTCTAAGAAGATTGTTAAGTTCTTACTACAAACAGAAAGTATATCAAGAATAGACTATTTGAGGAGTGCCAAAGTGGTCAAATCCACTTGGTCACCCTATTTCCTTTACTGTAAAAGCAGTTTAACACATTCATTCAGCTTCTTATCCAAATGATTAGAAGTCAATAGAGAGAGGCACAATTCAAAGAGATGAAAGTATAAACTAGAGGATACGATCAAAGCGTGCATTTGCATAGGCTACGCGACGCCTGAAGGACTGCAAGGCAGATCTGTAGAGACAAGATAAGGTGATGAAAAGTGGGAATCAATTACACTCACAGTAATAATTTTATAAGGATGAGTCTCAAAAATTAAAATCTTCACAGTAAACACCTAATAAGTTTACAAGGACAACTCACATAAATTTAAGATCTTCACAGTCAGTGACCATCTGAAGAAGAAGAGGAGGTTTTCCTTCATCACTGTCAGTCAAAAATAGATGTTTCCCAGTTCTACCAAGAAACCAGGATGTACGGGCAGCTGCTTTTTCCAGGGTGTAAAAGCCACAAAATACTGGGACCTGAAAACTAAGTGCCACAACATAAGAAAACTATGTAAAAGTGAAGCCAAAAAACAAATGGAGGGAAATTAAGCAGACACATTCCAAGATTTCATTATTGCTCACTTGACACTATTAGGAATAATAAGGGACATGAAAGAAAAGTTAGGTCATATGTCATAACAAATTAAAGGGAAAAATAATGGTATCAGTTAATTCATTCTTAAGCTATGTTGTTTATTCATTTTGCATCATTATAACTTTTCAGAAGTCCCAATATAGTATGACCAAAAGAGAAAAATAAGAAGTCTAGACTTCCCCGTTATCATGATACAGCATCAGAGAAAACTATTATCTAAAAGGAAGAGTTGATTATATGTCCGAACATAGTAAGCAAAGATGTATCACCTGCTTATGACCCCTTGAACCAAGGTGAGGAGTCGCTGAGGTTATAAAATTTATGGGCTCCAGCCCAGCAATTTTTCCATTCTGGAATGTATCTCCAGATCCATTATCCCTATATTCTCCATTTCCTTGGGGAAGTTCACTGGTGACATCTCGTCCATAAAGCCTAGCAATGGCATACCTTGATATCAGGCCACCCAAGGAGTGACTAATAAATGAGATCTTCTGGACACTTGGACGACGTTTAATGACTGATATTACCTGAAAGAAATAATACCCTTCCCAAATTCATATTGAGGTACTTTAAATCATAGATAACTCATGTGTCCTATGAAAATAATCTGAACGAGAAATAAAAGAGAAACAATATTCAATATCAGAATTCTGGTTCTCAGAACAATCCAGAACAAGAACATTAATGGTTTAATCAGTAAGCCATAACACACCTCTTGTGCTAATCTGTCTCCCATTACATCAACACCATCAAATGTCAACATTGAAGAATTACGCTTACTACCTGCATTGCAAGTTAATCATTTACCATTCATTTCACAACATAAACCAACATTGTTGAATATTGAAGTATGAAGGCAAAATTAGCGTGAAGATACATCTTGTATATATATACCCATTATATCCATAAAACTCAAAATAGAAATGGCAAGTGAGTACATGCAAAGATTCAACCGAAACAAAGTTAAGAGAGAGAGAGAAGGATTATTAAACTTACAGTGAACAATTAGATCCTCAGGATACTTCATCAAAAACTGTCTTGCAGCATATTTTCCAATTTGGAGCACTACGCATATTTGAAAAAAAAAAAAAAAAAAAAAAAAAAAAAAAAAAACAATAATTATTAGTAGAATACTAATCCACATTTTAATTCAACCTTCATAACCTCCATTTAATGAGCTTTAAGCACTGTGACTAACTCACTTACCTCCCGATAATACCATTAACCATTACAACGAGGTGAGTAGGACTCGGCCGGTCTCCTTGATCAGTTTTGACCTCCATCTCCAAGTCGAAATTCCCCATCTCGTCTGTTTTGGTTTTCAAACAAGAAAATCTCGGGATATGCGAATATCTCGCACTCTTCTTCTTCTCCTTCTCATTCTCATAGCTCTTCTTGATCTGAGCAACTTGCTCCTTCTTGGATCCTCTCACATGTAAAGAAGCAGAACCTCCTTCAATAGAAGCCATCGCATAAGAGACTTGGATAGTTGGATGTCGTTTTGATTGAAGAGAAGACGGAAGGTTCATGTATTAGTATTACCCGAAGTTTCTAACACAGCAGTTGTGTTAGTTATGCGTGATGTCATATGTGTTTGTTTTCAAACTTTAGAGTGGAGGGCTGAACTGGGCTTGCCACTACAATGCGTTACATAGTACGTTGCTGTTCAAAGGGGTCGGATGCCGTTACCTTTTTTTTTAAGTAAGTTAGGAGGTTGATAGCTGAGTTAGTTGTGTAATTCGGGTTTTGATTAAGGGTAACCGTGGAATTTTCTTATTTCATATTAGACAGGAATGACACGCAATTCTTTGGAAATTACCATTACTAAAACATATTTTCAGTTTGCAATTCATATAAGCACGAATAACACAATTCTTCTGGAAAAGGTACAATAACACAAAACACATGCCAATTAAAGTAGTGGAAATTGAAAGACAATAAGAAAAGTGTGTCTGAATCGGAAGACAACGCCTTGTTGAAGTTACATAACATTCTTATTTAATTTCTCTTCTACCGCCAACGCCATGGCATCCATATTTGGATTTCCTTTGCTGTTGTTTTTTATTAGAAATTGTGTGTTTTATATGATTTATTGTTAAGATGGGCTTAGAAACCTTACCCTCCTCAAACAGGGCCTCGATATAGAGCACTTAGACTGCTATTGAATGGGCTGAGCCCACAAAAGTTTCAACACATCTAAGTTTTAAAACGTCCATTTCTTATTTCCATAACAATTACGCCCAGGTTGACCATCTCTCCAACTCGTCCTTCTTTACGCGTGCTTATTAACGTCTGGTCCTGTCAAGCTGAGGGAATGTTTTATTCAATTGACAATTAGTTTAAATGTCCACCTCGGATTAGTAATGTTTGGCTGCAGTTGGAAATGAACAGTTGTCATCCATGGAGCCTCATCCTCTTATTCGTCTTGGACAATTAGTTTAAGTTGTATTAATTATATTTACTATTTTTACCATATTACAGTTTTTGTATATATAGTATTATTGATTACCAAATCAACCTTGCCATTCTTTCAAGATAGAAAAAGGGTGGCAGGTTTAGCTGAGCATCAAGAGTGATTTTTTTTTTTTTTTTTTTTAATGTTTAATCACTTTAGCAGGTAGTGAGCACTGAAGTGTAAGCACCTCCAGTAAACTGCAGTCATGTTTCTGATTCTTAAATGATATCATATTAATCACAAATAAAAAGTCACACTGGTTCACCAATAGAAGTTGAGCAACTTTAATAATTAATGATCAGATCTCTAGTTTCTCCCCAAACATTATCGTACCAACTGAAAATCCATCTTCACCTAATTTAAGTGGATTAGAAATTTTTGTTGCTTATAATCAAAGTATATGAAGCAAGCTACCGCAAATAATATATGCTAATGGTGGGCAAATTGCTTTCATCAACTTTAAATCGTTAATTCCAATTCAAGTATAGCATCCCAGTGGAGGTTAAACCTTTCTGCAAGACAAAGCAAAACGAGGGAAGCCTCAACAGCCTTAGCCTTGCAGAGAAGAGACAAATAAAAATAAAACATAACAATGGGGTTTGGAGATTAGCGACTGCTTAATCAATGATCCACAATATCGTTATTTTTTAACTTTTTTATTATGTTGGGAAAACCTGAGGCAAAAGTTAACTGCAATTTGATTGGTTGGTTGGTCCCGCTCTTTTCTTTGACTTCACTTGAAAATCTTAAACGGTGCGTATAAATGAGGAGGGTTTTGGCTTGCTGCTTCACAAATCGACCTTCAAAGATCCGTTCAGAGCAAAATCGTCCCCAGGTACTCATTTATCCTTAAGTTGACAATCATACCCATTTTGGAATAGAAACCGTCTTTGTTTATTAATTTATGTTGATCGGTTGGTCTAGAGATCCGGAGAAACCATGGAAAGCCACCAGATGAATAACGCCAATGACGATTCTGCAATGCGGGTATGCTCACTTTTCAATCGACATTGGGTTTCTATTTCTTGTTCTCTTTAGTTTTGGCTTCATGGCTGATTAATGTGTTTTCAACTCTTCTTTGCATATTTTGCCATCGCAATTGTGCTTGCTGTTATTCATCTTCAGCATTTCAGGAAGTTTATCCACTGTTTTTTTTTTTTTTTTTTTTTTGGTTAGTGATGGACAGAAAATTTCATCTTTAAAGTTTAAAGAATTCAAATTTAATGGCTCATGGCGGCATCGTGTCAGAGGTGTTATTTCTTAATTAATTTTGGGTGAAAAACGACACTGATTTAAGGTGTTGGAAGCCCTTGAACAAATAATTACAAATTAACCAGTATATGGCATCAAAGTCCCGAGCCCTCCCAACTCCCAAGCATTATATCATCTTATCTGTCTTTGTGATTTTTCCATAATTTTTCATGTTTTATAGCAAATAATATCAGTGACAAGCTGTATCAATTAGCACAAGAACTATTCACTTTTTATATGACTCATGGCTCCAATCATTTGCTATTTTAGTTCACTAACTTCTTCCTTTTTAACAGATTAATACGATCAAATCAATCACCAGCAGCAGCTCAAATATCATAATGAACAGTGACTTCTCTAAGGGGCTGCATTCTTGGCATCCCAATTGCTGTCATGGTTTTGTTGTTTCAGCTGAGTCAAATTTCGCAGAAGGAACATCAGCAAAGTCAGTTGGTAATTATGCTGTTGTTACAAATCGTAATGAATGCTGGCAGGGCTTGGAACAGGATATAACAAGCAGACTTTCTCCTGGTTTTACTTATTTGGTTTCTGCTTGTGTTGGAGTGTCGGGGCGTCTTCAAGGATCTGCTGATGTCATGGCAACTTTGAAACTTGAATACCAAAATTCACAGACAAGCTATTTGTTTATTGGAAAGTAATGGATTTTGATATTAGTTAGCCTTGTTTAATTGGAAAAAAAAAAAAAAAAAAATTTGCTAATGGAAACTATCAATGCAGAACTTCTGCATCAAAGGAGAATTGGGAAAGGGTGGAAGGCACATTCTCACTTTCAGCTATGCCTGACCATGTTGTTTTCTACTTGGAAGGGCCTGCACCTGGAGTAGACCTTCTCATAAAATCAGTGGTGATTACCTCTTCCANTCTTCAAGGATCTGCTGATGTCATGGCAACTTTGAAACTTGAATTCCAAAATTCACAGACAAGCTATTTGTTTATTGGAAAGTAATGGATTTTGATATTAGTTAGCCTTGTTTAATTGGAAAAAAAAAAAAAAAAAAATTTGCTAATGGAAACTATCAATGCAGAACTTCTGCATCAAAGGAGAATTGGGAAAGGGTGGAAGGCACATTCTCACTTTCAGCTATGCCTGACCGTGTTGTTTTCTACTTGGAAGGGCCTGCACCTGGAGTAGACCTTCTCATAAAATCAGTGGTGATTACCTCTTCCAGCCCTAAAGAGTGTGAGGTATATGCTCCTCAAAACTAACATCAAATTTAGGACTCTGGTAGAAACCCCATGTATAGGAATTTAAAAAGTTTTAAACTTAGTGCATTTATGTAAATGAGTCATCTATATTTGATTTTGATTTTGAAATCTGCATTAAACTTTCTCCCCTCTAACGCTGATAAGTGTGAGAAATTTCCTTTTTATTTTGATAGAACAAAAGCACAGAGTGTGTCACTGCTGTGGATGAGAACATTATTGTCAACCCCAAATTTGAGGATGGCCTAAATAATTGGTCTGGAAGAGGCTGCAAGATTGTTTTACATGATTCTATGGCAGATGGGAAAATAGTTCCATCATCTGGAAAGGTTTTTGCTTCTGCAACAGAACGCACACAAAACTGGAATGGAATTCAGCAAGAGATAACCGGAAGAGTGCAAAGAAAGCTTGCTTATGATGTTACTGCTGTAGTTCGCATTTTTGGTAACAATGTCGCAAATGCAACTGTACAGGCAACTTTATGGGTCCAAACACCAAATCAACGTGATCAGTATATAGGCATTGCCAAGTAAGTCTCTTTTTTGTTTTTTTACTTTGCTACTTAAGTCTTTTTATCTTCATTATGAAATTATCATGAGGAACAAGTATTTTAGGATATATTAATTCTCTTAAGATTTCATATAGATGCTCTTGTGGTGTTAGTAAATCGTTCTTTATTTCATCTTTTCCTTCATTTAAGAAAATGTCTTGTTTTGTTTATTTGAATTTTTAATTTGGAGTTGTAAGTTGTGCAGTTTAACTGTATAATTTCTTACTCTTCTGAAACAAGCTGGTTTGTTTGCCAGTGTGCAGGCAACCGACAAGGATTGGGTACAGTTGCAGGGAAAGTTCCTACTTAATGGATCACCAGCAAGAGTTGTTATATATATAGAAGGTCCACCTGCAGGCACAGATATTCTTGTCAATAGTTTAGTTGTAAATCACGCTGAGAAAATCCCTCCTTCACCTCCACCAGTTATTGAGGTAAGTGAATTAAAGTGCAAAGGTTATTTCATATACTTTTTTGGTTTAAATTTTTTATGTATCGGCTTCTTAAAGTTCAACCCTCAGTGTTGAATACATTCAAAACATTTTGTTTTACAGAACCCAGCCTTTGGAGTTAACATAATTACAAACAGCGAACTTAGTGGCGGCACAAATGGATGGTTTCCCCTTGGCAATTGTACTTTAAGTGTTGGAACTGGTTCACCACATATACTTCCTCCAATGGCAAGAGAGTCCCTTGGACCTCATGAACCTTTAAGTGGTCGCTACATACTTGTGACCAAGCGCACACAGACTTGGATGGGTCCTGCTCAGATGATAACTGATAAAGTGAAACTCTTTCTGACATACCAAGTATCTGCTTGGGTTCGAATTGGTTCTGGAGCCAGTGGTCCTCAAAATGTGAACATTGCTCTAAGTGTTGACAACCAATGGGTTAATGGGGGACAAGCTGAGATTAATGATGATAGGTGGCATGAAATTGGTGGGTCCTTTAGAATTGAGAAGCAACCATCAAAGGTTATGGTTTACATCCAAGGTCCTGCTCCAGGTGTTGACCTAATGGTCGCTGGGCTTCAGATTTTCCCTGTTGACAGAGAGGCAAGGTTTAGACAATTGAGGAGGCAGGCTGATAAGGTAATTGCTTTCTGCGGTTCTCTGGTGTAGGATTAATTAGATGTAAGTAAAACTTTAATATGACAAACATCAGCATGGTCACACTGGGTTTGCTTCATGTCTAAATCGGCTGGTAATCTTATAACAAACAGCACTTCTCCATCTCTAGCATTTGATACATCCTTTTGAAATGCACGATTCAAACATCATTAGGACAACTATATTCAAGATCAAAATAACTGTCTTGCTGAATTTATTGATGTAACAGTTGCTTAACTATAGTTCAAATTATTTTGTCCTAAAGCTAATCGTTTATTGTCCCTTTATTTATCTTTATCTAGAGTAGTGAAGTGATATCTCTCTGCTATTGATGATGCAATACTTTTGTTTTGAGTTAATTCTCATCATTCTTTAATGCAGATTCGTAAGTGTGATGTCATACTGAAATTCTCTGGAGGGGATTCAAGCAGTGGGTATGGCAGCTTTTTGAAAGTTGCACAAACACAAAACAGTTTCCCCATTGGATCATGCATAAACCGATCGCAGATAGACAATGAAGATTTTGTTGATTTTTTTACTAAAAATTTCAACTGGGCAGTGTTTGGAAATGAATTGAAGTGGTATTGGACTGAGCCACAACAAGGTAACTTCAACTACAAGGATGCTGATGATATGTTAGATTTGTGCAAGACTCACAACATAGAAGCCAGAGGTCATTGTATCTTCTGGGAAGTACAGGCCACTGTCCAGTCATGGATCCAATCACTAAACAAAAATGACTTGATGACGGCTGTTCAAAATCGCTTAACAGGCCTTCTCACACGTTACAAGGGGAAGTTCAGGCACTATGATGTGAACAATGAGATGTTGCATGGATCATTCTACCAAGATAGATTAGGCAAAGATATCCGAGCAAATATGTTTAAGACCGCCAACCAACTAGATCCATCTGCCACCCTGTTTGTGAATGATTATCATGTAGAAGATGGGTGTGACCCCAGATCATCTCCAGAAAAGTACATTGAACACATTCTTGATTTGCAAGAGCAAGGTGCACCTGTGGGAGGAATTGGAATTCAAGGGCATATTGATAGTCCAGTGGGACCTATTGTTTGTTCTGCTTTGGATAAACTAGGTATTCTGGGCCTTCCAATATGGTTTACTGAGCTTGATGTATCTTCCACCAATGAATGTGTTAGAGGGGATGATCTAGAAGTCATGCTTCGCGAAGCATTTGCCCATCCAGCTGTTGAAGGAATAATGCTATGGGGATTCTGGGAGTTGTTTATGAGTAGAAACAGTGCACATTTGATTAATGCTGAGGGTGACATCAATGAAGCTGGCAAAAGATTTCTTGCTCTTAAACAAGAGTGGCTGTCTCAGGCTCATGGACATATTGATGAGCAAGGAGAATTCAGTTTCCGGGGCTTTCCTGGGACATACACATTGGAATTAGGTACCATCCATAAGAAGATTAAAAAGACATTTGTGGTTGACAAGAGTGACTCGCCAGTGGTGGTGTCCATAGATCTGTAAGTTTCAGCTGCTGTGACTTCACTCGGGTTAATGCTACTTCAAGGTTTGTGTGTTATCATAACATCTATCAAAGCATAAGGTAAAAGAAAAAAAGTCATTTGTAATTACTATACAAAGTGTCTGTTCGTTGTTTACAAAGATTGTTTATTTCTTATGTTTCACTGTAAAAATCCGTGCAGAGCAATAAAATATTACCTTGTTGAAACTCGTTTTGTTTTCTTATTTTTCTTGACGTCCAATTGACTACATGGAATTCAACTATAGTGGCCATGAGGATGTTAACTTCGGCTTATGGAAGACAAAGTCCAAGGGATCATTGGGCTGAACTTGTAGCAATACACAATAGAATAAGAATGAATTTTAAAAACAAAACAGTAAAAACTGAAAAGATTAAAAACAAAAAAGATATTATAAGATGAAATAATAGACGGACACCCGATTATGTTGAATAACAGAGTAAAGTTAGGTGGGTGAAATGGAAGTTCTCCGCCTAATGGGTCCATTATGATAATGATATATTTTAAGATCCTACTATCATTTAAATTATAGTCCACATATAGGCTAGTCCCCTTCAGTCAAAAACCACCCATTTCCATCTATCTTCCTCCGTCCTTTTTCAATACTATATATATATATATATTTCTTAATTATTTCTTAAATCAACATCAATAGCAAAGCGGACCCCTCAAATATCATATAAATTATTTGGTTTAAATGAACTTTTTCTTCGTTTTCAATACTATCAAATCATGTATGCCATTTCTAAAAGTCTAAAACCCATTTACATTATACATAGTTGTTCATTATAGTGATATAATGACTTTTATCATCATCTAATCTTTTGAATTGACATTAGGTGGAGTATATATAACCATTTTAAGTTTTTAAAATAACAAAGGACATTCTTTATAAGGAATTAAATTAATTTATTAACTTTAGGATACATGTTTGAAGTATCCTTTAACAATTATTTTAAAATTGATGATAAATTGCATATTATATAAGTATTCTTATGTTTTAGAACTATGTAATCAACAATTATAGGAGACCACAATTGTTCCAACTCCAAATAATTTCCTATGGGAATCATGTGTTTGAAATTCGTGACGTGTGACATCTGATTTAAAAAAACACAAACATTCCTTGTAAGGTCCGTAATATTAGGGACTATTAGTTTAATCTACGAAAATAAACAAATATTTGAATCACCCTCTTCACTAAAACAATGTTTTTAAACACAATAACTCATCACATTAAATATAAAACTGTGTTTAATTCTTATGATTTATTGTAATGAAAAGAGTAATTAGGAAGAAGGGAAGGGAAGGGAAGGGAATAGGAAAGAAGTAATGTTTAAAAGGAAAAGAAGAAATAAAATGAAGGGAAGGGAATAAATGCCCCCACAAGGCAGGCATCACATCAAATTGAAAGACACCCACCAGCTACTCCTACTAACTTCTAATTATATTGATGAATGGACGGATGGACGGATAGGACCCAAAAACAGTCTCATCTATGTCTCCAACAGTGCCTTCTCATGGACCCCAAGTCACATGCCTTTACAGTAATCCATTTCACTGTTCTCAATCAAGTTTACTTTTGATGCGATGGTAAATGGGTCCCTCCTTAACCCCAAAAATCAATATACATATATAATTAATGGAGAATCGTGAGTATGGAAAGGGTGGGTCCGTCTTGTTAAGAGTTATGTGATGTTTTTTGCATCGGGAAACAGCTCCCGCGCTGTTCTCGCGCGCCTCTCCCCCAAACCACACTCCATGTGGGTCCTTCACTCACTCTCGTCTTCCTTATCTTAATAAACACTCACACCGTCCTCCACACTGATCATCCCTTCACGCACTCATGTTTCCGTGTCGTAAATTCAGTTCACTCTTACTGCCATTTCTGTCTTCTCTATCTGCCTACTCTTTCTTTTATTATTAATTCGATTGGACTCCTTTTTGGTCCCACCATTCCATTAATTAAAACCCTGTTTATATTCTACCTTCAATATTTTTCATTTCCAAATTCCCATATTAGGTTAAACAACTTTTTCTCCTTACTCTTCCCATCATGTCCACTTCTTTCAAGACAAGCCTTGTACTGTTTAACTTCAAATCACTAACAATAAGTCAAGTTATCAACTTATTATCAATGTTCAGTTCATGACTTTTGTAGTATTGTTTGTAATTAAGCAACAAATTTCTTTAATAAGTAAATCCGATGTATATATAATCGACAGTACTCATGTTTGACTATCTAAATGAGAAAGAGAATCCACAAACCCAGTTGATTGCTTTGTGGCGTAAAAAAGGAAGGAAAAGCAATATCACATTGGTATATGTGGAGGCGATCCAGTAAAGGAATTAGCTAAAGTTGAAAAATTAAGGATGAGGTATACTTAAGCATAATTAATAAACAGGAAAAAAGAAAGATTTGATTAAGATTCTTCTGGTTTGCGATTTCTGTCATCAGATAGTAGCCAACATGATTACGATTGATGTTTAAAGTGCCAAAGAAAGGAGATTCTCTCCTGTTAACTTTCTGTAAAAATGATCTTAATTTGTTAATCCAATATAATCCTTCGTTAGTGATTGTGCATGGAGGAGCTTAAAATGTACTATATTTTAAAAGATTTTATACGGTCCGTGCAGTTATTATTATTTTTCTTAAGAAAAAGCTTATTATATAAAATTTAAAAAGAACTCTTTGCAATATAAAATGAATATATAAAGTTAACAAAAAGAGCCAAAAAGGCACATGGATGCGTCTGACTACGCCATTGTTATCAGTTACATGCAAATGAAAAGAATGATAAACAGTGAGCAATACCAGTACCTTTAAGATTAAAAAACAAATTGTAATAATTTTCACTCGTCATTCCCGTAAATTTTGTTTTCCTTTTTAGCTTGTGGGATAATACTGTTCATTGGTTTCATTAACCTATGCATTAAAAATGGCAGCTAACTGCTAACTGTTGCAAACTAACTCGTAAACAAACTGGTAGCCCTAAACAACCAAATCAGTCAAAAGAATTGGAATGTAGGGTAGCTCTTATTACGGGGAGAAAATGAAGATAAACAATGGCAGCATATGTCAGGTTCAGTCTAGGGAAATTGTGTGAATATTGAATCTGAGTCGGTTTCTGGGGTTTGGCAGCTTGGATTGACTGCCGAACCAGCTTTCTCCATTTGAAATGACACCTATTTGACTGAGAAGTGAGAATGGACATCTTTAAATTATTTAAATCATTTTAAAGTGTTTTTTTATTCATACAAATAAAAACATCACGTACACAAACAAGAAATTATAAAACTACCAAACAATAAAATAAAGATGAATAAAACTCACCGCAGAAGAAAATTAATAAAACTCAACTCAACTCAAGAAAAATATGCTTTGAAAAAAATATATCAAATAATATTTTTTAATTTAAAATATATTGAGATACAAGATTGATGGGTCTTTTGTCCTGATAAATCTTAATTTATATTAGTCTCTAAGACTAAATTGTTATTATTAATTAACATCCTAAACATCACATAAATTTTAAGGTTTCATATAATGCATATCGCTAACCTATAATTTATTTGATAATCTTATATTTAAATCCTCAATTAATATTAGTAAAATGGGAGAACGACATTTTCCCACCCAAGGTATGGCGAAACGACACTTTTCCACTTTTCAAGTTTCAAAATGACATTTTCCCACCATTTGTTAGGTTCTGTTATGTTTTCCGTTATTATTTTACTGAAAAAACGAAAATACACTTAAATATTTTACTTCATAGATTTTTTATTATTTTTTAATTAGCCAAAAAGTCAAATATTAAAAAGTAAAAAAAAAAATAATAATTAACCTCATCTAGAAAGATAGAAGTAATGTTATGGGATTGTTTAAAGTTAAAAGACCTTAATATTTATTTATTTATTTATAATGTCATCAATATCTCATTACTATTATTCAATAATCTACTAAATTTATAATTTTTTTTATAATACATAATGTTTTTCATTTTTACTAATTAACACAAAAAATCAATATTCTTCATTAATTAAATAAACAAAGGAAAAAAGATATATTTACACTTGAACTATTAAATAATCGAGAGTAAAGTCTTTAACTTAACTAAATTTTAATTTATAATAAACTATTTGAAGATATTTTTCGTTTTTTCAGTTAAATATTAACTAAAACAAATTAACATAAGGTGGGAAAGTATCATTTCGCCAAACCTTGGGTAGGAAAATGTTGGTCTCCCTGGTAAAATAATAAACAAACCTATATATGAGTCAGTCCAATGTAAAATATAACTTCACTCAATTTAACTAAATTAATACTACGAAAGGAGTTATAATAGCATTAGATATAATTATAAAGTTGATGGAAACATTTTAATCTTTTGAATTTTATATATTTTTGCAACTGTGAAAAATTTAGCCGGCAATTAAAGCATTCATGTGATTCCTTAAAGTCTTACTCCTTGATTTTTTTGAGATTTAACATTGTCTTTTTTTTATTTTATTTTTTATTTTTTTATCTCTCTAAGATTTTACTGATCAATTTATAAATTATAATTTGGCTTGATGTTCGAAAAATTCTTACATATACAAATAAAATTTGGCTTGATGTAAAATTACATTAATTTTAAGGGACTGTGATTTGCAAAAAAGAATTATTATTAAGATCTATGTAAATTAAAAATTCCAACTAATATTTAATTAATTGAATATATAAATTACACCATGGACTTAAAGTCTTCTTTCTTTCTATATGTCCTTAGACTAATAGAAGGTTTGACATTCCCCAAGTCATTGAGGACAATCTATATATCCTGACACAAAGGCTAATGCAAAACCTTGTGTGATTAATTGTTTCTGTTAACTTGTTCTTTCATCGTATGTGTTAACATAAATCAGTTTCTTTTCCTGTTTCTATCAAATCAAACTCTTAAAAGCTTCAATTAGAGCTGAAATCCTCTTCTAATCTTTAGTCAATACTTAGTGCGTAGCACTGTTCTTCCACCTTTAAGTGATTAAGCCATCCATCATCTTTCCTTCATGGAAAGAACACTTTGTTGACAAAGTTGCTAATGGCCCTAAACCTCTGCATAACTAGATACAAAAAACAAGGATTATGTTACCTAATAAAGCATGCAAATGACAGTTGTTTTAGTTTCGCTTTTGAAAATTTTAA